ATGGGGCCCCTTGAAGCTCTCATCCCAGAAGCAACCAGCTATAAAAGCTGATCTCTTCTACAACACTACAATAGAAAAACAAAGCCTTACAAAACCTCATTCATATGCTCAATTCGGTGATCATAGCTGATCGTCACAGGTGTTTATCCAGACTCCACATAGTCCGTGGTGCGTGCGACGCGGGGTGACTCCGAAAACCGGCCTCGGAGCTTCTTGGGTTTCCCACCGTCAGGGGAAGAAGAACCGAGCCACTAGGATCGTATCCCTTTTTGGTTTTTAACAATCTTAATGTATCTATGGTAATGGTAATTACTAATACATATGTCTGTCCGATTCAGCTTTCTATCAGGCTTCCCACTCAATTGACTCATCGGGTTGAAACTAGGTGAACATCGTTAAGGGAGGATTTAATTGTCCGGCGAGACATTTTTGGTCGATTTATTCATGGGATTTGACATGAGCGTTTCTTGCTCATCCAATCGTGCGGGTGGGTACAGTTAGCGAACCCTGGCCAAAGTTAGCGCTACGGGCCGGGCCTTGGTGAAAAACTAGATAGAGGCCGAGGACCAGAAGTGGCCTTCCAGTCGACTTGACAATATATGTTATTTTTAGCAGGCTTTGGCCTGCGATGCGTCTGCTCAAATTGCGGACGGAGTTATCGGGAATAGGCATCAACGGAAACAGATTACCGTATCCTCTCAATAAAATGGAACGGGACTATGGAGCTGTTTCCTGGACTTCTATCCACCCAGAACTGTTGACTCTTTTGATCTAACTGCCAATGGATACGTAAGCGAGCTATTCGTGCCGGCTTTTCCGTGCTTTCCGAGCCTGATTTAGGTTGATTGGCCCGGTTGTGCCAGCAGGGGATGCTGCTGGTTACAATGTTAAGAAATATAACTCTTTCAATTGGCTTGTTTATTGTGTTGAGATATATGACTCAATTGCCACTAGTGTAGTATCCCTTTTTGGTTTTTATCATATTGTGTGGTCGGCAGCCTGAGCGCTTACAAATTATACAGGCTTACATCTCAACTGTCACATCTTTGTACCCTTGCTTGTCAACACGGCAGGGTTCTAAAATATAGAGGGGCTGGGCAGCTGATTGTATAATAAGATCTAGCTCCCTCTGGCCACTTGAGTAGCATCTGACTTTTAATTTCTCACCAACGTTTTCGATTAGCTACAATGGCCGTCTATAGAGGGAAGCAAGGCTATCTAGGCTATCTTCTCACAGCTACAATCATTCTTTGTTACTGCATCACACCCACAGTCGCAACAGCGCGCTCTTACACTCAGTATGAGCACTTCTTCCCGGCCTGGGAGCACCTCATCCAGGATCAGCTTAGGAATAACTGCACCAAGCAGCTGAATAACTACAGGAACCGTTCCAACACAGATCAAGGATCAGGCTATAACGTAATAGGCTGCGTCCTAGAAACCATGCCCGAGTATCGCAAGGCTGAACTTGCCTCAGCTGCTGTCATCCTTGGTCTCGCGCCTACAGTTCTTCAATTAATGAGTGCATCGTATCTCGACACTGCGGTGCTGGCGTATCGTCGTCCTGGGCTTGCCTTTCTGCTTTCAATGTCCAGTTCCGGAGTGCGTCCTCTTACAGCAACAGAGTACGACGACTTCATCGCCACAATGGGTACCGATCCCTTTCATACCAATTTCGGCAAATCACAATCAGTCTGGGCACCCACTATTGTCTCCATACTAGAGTATACTATTGCTAGTGGAGCCGTTGCCAATAATGCCTACCTCGCATATCAGCTTAGCGTATGGGCAGTCTGTACATTTTCCCCCCAACAGGACTTTCTTCCTGCTATGTGGACAGTTGCAGCTCTGGTCATACATCTAGTTGGATACTTGGCTGCCAGATTAAGAATCTCTGTGGAAGGAAGAGGAGGAAGCGGAGAAGATAACAATCGAGGTACACGGTGGCATAGACTCTGGGCTGAGCTCACACCTACTCCCTGGCAGACTAGGCTCGAGGTCAAGAAAAACGACAGGCACAATGGCTGGTTTCTGGTGCTGGTATCTGCTCTTTATATTGGGGATGCGCTGCAGGCATTCTTCGGGACTCTCATTCTTTCAAGTTTAGTCTTTATAAGTGTGAGGGATTCGGCTATTATAGTGATTCGGTTGATGGCGAGTGCTCTTTTTGCCAGAGGGATCCTGATTTATGAGTTAGCTGGGTTTAGGACAGAGAAGGAGGGACGTGGTTTATCTGAAAAGCCCCCTACTCGGCCGTAGAAACATAATAAGTTATTCGGATAGCGAGATCGCTTTAGCAGAATGGGCATCAACACTTGTAGCCAAACCAATGACTGTGTTCATTGTTGGATGGAGGCGGATAATGATAATCCACGATAAAGGAATAGAATAGAAAGCAATGCATCTTTGAGAAAGGAGCAAATTCCTCAACCTCCTTTTGTTGGTCCTCGACGGCAAGATATCTCCGGGCTTTGGCCTGCATGTTTCGTGTTGGTGGGTACGTACGGCAGGAGGGTACTGCATGGTATCACCTTGACAGCTTCATCACCAAAAAAACTCTGTATCGGCTTGGCCTCTGACTTCTTGGAAGCGGCCTCTTCCTCTTTCGATTGACTCGCTCATCGCCGGTGAACACAGTGGTCAGGAATAACACAAGGCGGTTATCTTTCCAGGCTATTTGGTTGACCTAGAAGTATACCATCCAGGACCACCTAATGGATAACCCCACCTAATGGATAACCAAAATTTCGCTCCGCCCACACAAAATCCAAATTTTGATGCGTACACAAAACACCAGGTCGTCAATTAAAAGGCGAAGGTTTGGAGAGAAACCCTATAAAATTGATCAATTTTTACTCTCTGCGTGGTTTTTTGACCTCCCGACCGCTACGTGTGCGCCGGCAGTGCTTTGTTACGACCCTAAAGTCGTCACTTTCGTCCTCTGACCTGACACCCACCTCAATCACCGACTCAACCTTCTCGTCCACATCCACCTCTATTTCTGCCTTCTTTGAGTCAGGAAGAGCTTCTCCAGTCGCTAGAGCCTCCGCTAGAGCCATGAATCGTCGGTTCGGGTTCGGTACCGCCTTTCTTTTCTTCCCTCGCCGCACCTGGGCCATCTGCTCCTCGAGTCCAGTAATCCGCGCATTCTGAACGGCCACCTTCATCTCTAAAGCTTCCAACCCCTTTGCGATCTTACTGTACTTCCGCCTGGTCGGACGACTGCGGTGTTTGGCCATTTCCCTCACCTGCCGGCTCGTTTTCGGCGTATCATCCGAGTGCAGTTGAGGAGGGCTCGGCGTCTTGAACTCTTCCAGCAGTTTTTCTTTGTCTGGTTGAATTTCAGGATGTGTTAGAGCCTTATGACGATTTATAGGCCAATTTCCAGTAAATCTCCAGCCGGATAAGATAATCTCCTTCCTCATGCCCGCCTCTCTGGCTTTCGCGTATGCCCGAATAAAATTGACTTTGTCAACCGGCGCAGAATCGGTCAAACTAGCTAGCTTTTGGAGTTCTTTCCGATACGCACCTTTGATGACATTAAAAATTCCATTATCTAACGGCTGCAAACCATGGGAACAATGTGCTGGTAGGTAACAGCAGTAGACGTTGTTCAGAAAGCACGTAGCCATCCACTCGTCCTAACTGCTTGTTAGCGACCCTATAGCGGACGACTCCGCGGCGAAAACACCAAATTGCTTACCTGCGCATGGCTCCCGTGGCCGTCAAGGATAATGAGTCTCGCATCCGATGCATCGCGAGGCTCTGTTTGAGGTAGATAGACATCTTTCAACCACTCGAGAGCTATATGGTTGTCGGTCCAGCCGTTCGGGGATGTGATGTAGTGCCAGTCGGCTATCAATTCGAATTCGTTAAGAAACCACTGCTTCTGTAGCTCTTTTCCTTTAAAGATAATCCCGGGTTTTAAAGCGCGACCAGTTGCGGTGACGGCCTCAATAAACGAGGTCCAGGTGCGCGACTGGACGCCTTTTAATAACGCCTTCTTCTTCGGGTCGGAACTCCCAATTACGAGGCTGTCCAAGCCTTATGGACAACCAATTAGTTATGGCCTATGGAAACCCATAGAGTACTTGTGGAAGACTTACCGAAACCCGCCATTATGCCGCCCTCGTCCACGTTAACCGTGTTCTCCGGCTTGATCCAGCCGTATTCCGTCTCCCGAATATCGAAGTACCAATTGACTGCCTTTGGAGTAAATCCATCAAACCTGGCGGCTTCCTGGCGTTTCCCAAGCGTGGTAGATAGTTGTAGGTGACGCTTGACGAACCTGGTGGTCCAGTGCTTGCCCAGAGGCTTGTTATCGCCTTGTTGTTTGAGGATGGCCTCGACACAGGCACGGAGCTGGCTGTGCGAGAGATCATAGCCCAGAGACTCTTGTCGCAACACCCAACGAATGAGGGTCTCCTCTTGGCTCTTTGAAATACGCTGGTGGGCCTTGATACGTTCATTCCTGCTCGCTTGACCAGAAAGTCGTCCAGAAAGGGTCGACTGAGGCACTCCACGTTTCTGAGACGCCTCATTCTGTGAGAGGCCTCTATCAGTGATATCTAATATAGCCTCAGCTACGTCATCTTCGGTATAGTTACGACGAACCATTGCGGAGGGAGTTCCGTGGAGTAAATTAGGTGAAAACTCGGCTTGAGTAGATGGAGTCGCGTAGGGTACATGGGGTGAACTGCAAAAGAATTCAAAGGGCTATGGAACCAGGCCACGAGGCGGGACGGGGAAAATTTAAACCGACATAAAAGTTCTACGAAAAAAGCAATATAGTACAGGTCTTACTTTGCAAGTATCTTTATTCCTGGCCGAATATGGTGTAATTGAAAATTTGGATTTTGTATGGACGGAGCGAAATTTTGGTTATCCATTAGGTGGGGTTATCCATTAGGTGGTCCTGGATGGTATTCGTCTTCCGCAGGGCCACTAAGACAGGCATGAACGCATACGTATTGTCTGCAAACGAACAGATTACGTATAATATGATTTCCGGTTGGACAAAGAAGCTTGGCGAACTAGCTGGGTTTGGCGTTGTTGTGATCTTATATACGCTCCGTTACAATGCAGGCAACGAGTTTGACCAATGCTGTGCGTACACATGTCACGTGCAAAGACAGACTGACTGACGAGTGATGCAGCGAATATCAGCGATGGACTTCGCAACCTTATGCTTCAACACGCCAACTCTAGGACTTTCGAGAAGCATTACCTCGGCCGCGTCGTCCCTGTGGATACTATGGCTGTTGTGAGCCATAAAGAGCAGCAAAAAGCGCTGATGCGTCAAGCCTGCAGTATCGGGTACTCAGCCAGCAAGCGACGGCCTACCCATCTGACTGCTGAGCAGTCCGCGAGCATCAATGATGATCCCGAGATCCAGGATCTCCTTCGACAACGAGAATTCCTTCTCTCTAAAGGCAATAAGTCCGACAAGGTTCGCACACGTCTAAGGAAGATTTCTAAGGATATTCAAAGCGAGAAGGCGCGCCTACGCCGAAAACGCAAAGATCAAGTCAGAAAGACTTAGTCTCGCGAACAGGCTGTAACCGATATCGAGCGACAACTAGCTAGCAAGACATTTGAGGATCCACCAATCTCGCCATCGGATGAAGATGCTCATCCAGCCCAGAAACGTCTATACCAGCGCTGCCCTCAAATCAAACAAATCAAATCCGGGGTCATATTTGAGATATTTGATAACTCTCAAGACTAGATTTGTTGTTTGAAATATTTATTCAAATATTTCAAATATTTCAAATCTGACTCTCTATGCTTCCATGCTAACATCTCCAATCTCCCATTGGACCTCGTCCCCCCCACCTATTGTCGCCCCTAGCTTCACCGCACCATGTCTGACCCAGTTCTTAAGGCATCGTAACTTCTCCAGCGTTTCCGTCGTCATCGAAAGCCTCTGCGTCGTCAGCGTTAACTTGGCTAGGCTGAACGACCTCTCGCAATCAGTCGCCATCGCCGGTATCGCGAGTATATCGAGAGCCAATTGGCTGATCATCGGGAATTGTCCCTGATGAGCCATCCACCACTCAATTGGGTCCTCAGTCTCTTGCGGCTCTAGCCGTAGATACCGCTCAAGCTCACTTCCCATCACCGTGGTCTTCGCCGTCCTGCTTTTGATCCATTGCTTGAATACGCTAGCTTCCGTTGTCTTCCTTAGTACGCTTAAGGATGTCGATGTGTCCATGATCATCTTCTGCCGCTCATCCACCGGCCGGCTGCAGCGGTACCAACGGTCGAGGTACTCAGACAGTCCAATCTTGGCATCCCTCACCCACACAAGCTGCTCCTCCGACGCCCAGTTCACCTCTAGATAGTTCATGCCAAGTGATGGGTGGAGGATGATGGATGCAGCGAACAACAGTGAGTCTCCAAGCTTGGTGTAGTACTCGTTTAGTTTCTGCCAGGCAGTCATGATGGACAGCCTTAAATAGTGTCGGTGATCCTTTCCCATGTCATCGATTCCTAATGATCCTGGTGGCTTGCCTGATCCATCATCGCATTGTCTCGAGCCATGATCTGACAAGGGGCCTTGCCTGGACTTTCGCGGATGGATATCCGTCTCGCAATCCCTAAATCGAGCAGGAAGCTGCCGGTTACGGTCTGGTCGCCCTCGAGCCAGCTCGGCCTGCGAGTTGGTGTCCTGTCCCCCTGCCTCGTCTGGAACGGCATGATGGAACAGCTTCCGATCCTCTAGGTGTTCCAGCAAGTACTCCATACCCACCATCACTTCCCAGAGCCATCCGTTACCTCCTTCGCTGCCCCAGCCCTGCGTTCTCATAGTCTGTAGATAAATGGCTCAGGAATAAGTTTGATTTCTGCCAACAGTCTCCAGTCATCTCCCTTCAGCATGTCGGCCTCCGGTAGCCATTTCTCCACTTCTGGGTGGACCAAGAACGCTCTGATGTCTCTCTGCTTGACGAGCGCTCGAGAGATCATGAGGTAAGTGGAGTTCCATCTCGTATCGTTATTCATTACGACCTCTAGCTCCGCCGTTGACTCACTCGCCAAGAGGTATTCTTGTGCTTCGTCGTTCTCGCGTGAGATCCTTTTGAAGAGCTCACACCTCTGAGGGGAAGACCTGATGAATTTGACAACATTGTGGAGCTTTCCAACCGGCCCTTTCTTTCTCCAGTGTCGTAGGTCATCCTCGCGCCGGCCGAGAAGGTCAAATACCTGCGATTCGGCCTCGAAAGAAAAGCCTCGAAATCTTCACCGTAGAGAAAGGCGCGAGCAACCAGGTTCAGGATATGCCCATAGCAGCGCATACGTCTGGCCCGAACGTCCGCCAGACTCATCTCTGCGTCGAGATCTCCGTAGAAGTTCACGAGACAGCTGTCGTTTGAAGATGCGTTGTCCGAGATCACGGTTCCGACTCGGTCCTCTATCTTCCATTCTCGCACAACTTGCCCGAGCGTCACCGCAAGACTTTCTCCGCTATGACACCCGGGCTGGCGACGGAGTGCCAATAGGCGCGACTGGTGCTTGCCCTGGCGGTCAAGAAAATGAGCTGTGACTGCCATAACAGCATGCCGATTAGGCGATGTCCACAGGTCGAACCCCAGATGGATTTTAGTAAGGGCATCCGAGAGCTCCTGCTAGACCCTATACTTCTTGGTTTTGTACATGTCATCCAACAAACGGCTCATCGATTGCCGGCTCCATGGTATCTGGTCAGATAGGTGAGGGTCAAGCTGCCAAGCGAGCTGCTGAAAAAAGGAACATTGGCGTTAATCAGAAGTCCCAGGCTCAATTCTCGGATCGTCTTGACTCTGGCGCGCGGCACAGTACTGTACTGCAAGCGTCGTCGCTTAGGCCGTCCAGATTCATCGGTTGACAGATCTGGATCAGCTGCTTGACTGCTCTCGAAAATCCTGTGAGACCTGGCGTTGGTCAATAGTGCTCAAGCTCGCGACGTCACATTCACATTCACATACTTGCAGAGATGGTCCGCTGCCGAACTCGTAGCAGCAGCGGCGAAGAACTCAGGCTGACCCTTCGCGTCGCACAGACGCCAGGCCCAGTAAGGACTCAGCGGACTGTCGTTAGTGTCAATCTCAACAAGAAAAATTCCATGGCGCTTGATCCAGCTCTTCCGACCCTTTGAGCCCTTCCGGGACAAGGACTCTTCCAAAACATATCGTTTGTTCCTTCACACTGCTCGCGGAAGATCTGCAACAGTAGGGTGGTCTGGCAATGCCAACTGCGTCGTCAGCTCGAATTGACTCGCCAAATTCCTCGGTGGTCGAAGAAAAGAAAAGGCAGAGGGTAGAGGCGAAGGAAGCATGATGTCGTCGGATTCCATCGGGTTAGGCGTCGACTCGTGGGAGGAATGGTACGCGTTGAAAGGTAAACAAATGTCGCAGGGTAGGCATTAGTAATCTAGCTATATGCTTTAAGTAACTCTGCGGGATGGAATACCCCGCACAAGAGATAACTTAAGACATCAATCAACACATTTGCTGCTGCTCATCATATTCACTCTAACCCTTTAAGCACGCTCAGTGCGACAGTTATGAGCCCGGAGACTCTTTCATTGCCTCTCTCCATCATGATCAGCATCTTCTCTGCCGCAAGCCAAGTCCATCACCACCAGCATCTTCTGCTATCAACTTCGTCGTAACGAGAGCTTTCTCTCAAATTGAAAATCTCCTCAGGGGAATCGGCACGAAGTTGAGCCGACTGACGCAATGCTGGTTTCCGGGTCATAGTCGGATGTATCAGATGAAGCGATATGAAACAGCAACTTGAAACCCGCAAAAGATTTTAACAGAGAAGACTCCTAAAAACTAACGATCATGATCTCTTTAATCAGCAAGAAGCTAACATATTAATCAGAAGCCAATTTAAAAGAGACGCTATCCTTTTCTTGACTAAATGTCACAAAATGTCGATCAAAGATCACAATCTCACCTTGCTCAACTCCCGCGAGGACTGGACCAACTGGATTAACTCTATTGAGGACCTTGCCGTGCGCAACGATGTCTGGAGCTACTGTGATCCAGAAGGGATTGAAAACTTGGTCTTCACTGCGACCAAACCATCGGACTCAGCAAGCAAGGACACGATCCAGAAATATCACAGCCTCCAGGCTATCTATGATAGCGAAAGGAAGAAATACGACAAGGTCTCTGATCGCATTGACCTCACAGTGTGTCAGGAGTTCAAGCAGCACTACCTCGGAATCCATGACGTCCGCGGTAAACTCATCGCGCTGGCTGATAGCATCCAACCCACCGCGAAAGACCAGAAGCAGAATGTTAGGACCGAGTTTGAAAAGCTTAAGAAGGGCCTTAGCAACACCAGTCTCGATAAATGGCTCAGCCGCTGGCCTGCTCTCGTTAACAACGCTAAACGTTACAAGATAGAGAACCTCAGCGAGTCGCAGATCTGTGATGCATTCATTGAATCATCTCGCGAAATAAACCCACCGTTCTACAACTACATGAAGTCCAAGGAAGCTTAGGTTGAAAGCGAGAAAAACCTCGTCAAGGAGGCTGCAAAAACCATGGAGAAGATCTCAAATGCGTTTCTCACTGCGCTCAACGAGATTAATCCCGACCATGCCAGTAGCGGTTCCGTCACTGTCGCAAGTTTGACTGATTCTGAAGAGGAAGAAAACGGTGAAGATGACGACGTCACCACTGTTCAGAAAGCTCAGAATACAGTAAATAGAGCACTAAAGACCTTCCGCAAACTCAATCCAACCCTCTCCGAGAAGAAGATTACTATCGGATTCTGTATTAAGCAGTTCAGGACAATGGCACCACCAAAGGAAAAAGCTATTAGAGGACGAGCAGCCCACGCCACTCTTCAAGGAAGAAAGCACAATAATGATTCAGATTTGCAGAACGAAGGGGATCAGCCACAACAGAAAAGACAGCGAACAGGACATTCATCCTCGAACATGGGTTTCCGAAATTGCGTCTGCGGCATGTCCCACAAGTACACTGAGTGTTATTATCTTAATCCTTCGGGTGCGCCAGAGGGATGGACACCGATCGTTCAAATACAGTCGAAAATCATCACCACAGTCAAGGGAAGCAAACGCCTTAGAGAAAACATCGAAAGGAACCTCAAGAGAAGCAATATTGACTTGCCTAAGTTCTGGCCGTCAGATACTACAAAGAATCAACCCAAGCATCTAACAGAGGACGAGACTTCAAGCACAGATAAATTTCTATCCAAATCAAGAGCCGCATTTGTTACGTCAAGGTCTGCGTTTGGCACAACCGCAAAAGACGAGTACGGTGATTGTTTCCGACTTGACAATTGTGCGGATACACATGTCTGCAATGACCTGTCTCGCTTCACTAATTACACACCACTCGATGATGAAACCATAGAGTTTGGCAACTCAGGCACGCACATCACAGGCATAGGAAATGTCACGGTACATGTCGACACTCCAACAGGCGCAGGTCTAATTCAACTCGAGAACGTTGCTTATGTCCCTGGATTCCATTGGAACCTCATCAATATGCACTCTCTCGAACAACAAGGACTTTATTTCAATACGAGGACTTGTTGGATGGAATATTCAGATGGATCAAATGCCTTTAAAGTAACTAAACATGGTGCTTTTCGAGTCGCCGAATCCCACATCAAGGACATTATATTCAGGGCTGAATCTCATAAAGAGGCAGCGCAGTCCTTTGCAATGGCTACTAAATCGAGAACGCCTCAAGTTGCGACAGCTTCTATGGATACCTGGCATGCAAGGCTAGGCCATATTCGAAAGGAGGCTCTTGAACACATGCCTCAAGCAGTCGAGGGAGTCGCACTCGGGACTCGCAACTTCGAACGAAAGTCAGAACTCTGTCCTGAATGTCAACTCGGACAAGCGTATCAACAAATCTCCCGCATACCACCGTGGAGAGGATCTTACCCCTTCGAGAAGATACACCTTGATCTTATCGACATGGAGGAAGCATTCAACGCTGACTCCTGGGTCGCTCATTTCTATTGCGACTACTCAGCTTACCATATCACCTTTAACCTCCCAAACAAGAATCAAGATGAACTTCTTTCTATAACACAAGAGTTTCTAGCCATTACAAATGACAACTGGGGTTTCACTACGCGATACATCCAATCGGATGGCGAAAAGGGTCTGGGAAAGAGATGGAAGTATTTCATTGCAATGAAGGGAATTACATTCAACTCATCTCCACCAGATACGCCAGATCAGAACGGTCTTGCCGAACGTTCTGGGGGGTGATCATAGCTATCGCTCGCAAGCTTCGAATACAGGGAAATCTACCTCAGAAACTCTGGCCCTACATCGTTGCTCATGCTACTCGCCTCCTCAATCGCATCCCAGTTCAACGAAAACAATGGCAAACTCCATTTGAAATGGTTCATGGCCGAAAGCCCAACCTCTCTAATCTCAAAATCATTGGTTCGCTTGCCTACGTCTTAATCAAGAACAAGAAGGCCCGTCCAGCCAAATCGAAGTTACAAGAAAATGCACTCATGGGATGGCTTGTCGGATTGGACGCAACCAATATCTATAAAGTTTGGGTTCCACACCTTGATCGTGTAATTGTATCTCGGGATGTTCAAGTTGATGAGAAAGTCATGTACGATGCACAGCTTGCCACAACTCTTCCCGAATCGGGACAGACTCTCGCGATCACGATCAATGAAGTTGATCTCGAAGAAGAGGATATCGAGCCATTGTCTATCATGGAGAATACAGCAACTTCGGTCCCTGTTTCGATACAACCGGAAGCAGAACTATCCCGACCAGGATTGCTTCTTACACCACAAATCTCACCTGAACGATCAATAGCAGGAGAGATACAGGTTGTACCACCCGTAGATGAACTGCCAACATTGCCGCGGCCCACGAGTCCAGTAATTCTCCATCAAGCATCACCGCGTCCTCAGACAACAATACAACTAGGATCACCCAGAAAGAAAAAGATAACGGACGCTTCAGTGCTCCAGAATCTCAGAACAACTTCTGGAAGGAGTATCAAATTGTCACAGAAAGGACAAGATGCAATCGAAACATTCAAACCACGCCTTACTCGGCACCAAATCCATAAGCAAGCGCGAAGACACGCTCATGCTCTACGATTGGAACGCGCTAAGCTGGGACAGCAACTCGCCCACGCTTTCGCATCAGCACGTTCAATACGAACCCAACGAAAGGACTTGCCTCCACCTCCTGACTTTTGGCATCAACTGAAATGGCATCCTGAGAGACAAGGCTTCAAACGAGCCTCAGACGCCGAGATCAAGTCACTCAAGGAGAAAGGGACATTCGAGCTAGTCGATTACCCTGAAGGCAAACAAGTTCTACCACTCAAATGGGTCTTTACCTACAAACTGGACGATGCAGGTTACCTCATTCGTCACAAAGCTCGCATCTGTGTCAGAGGCGATCTCCAACACCACTCTGGTGAAGACATCTACGCAGCAACTGGTGCTTATCGAAGCTTCCGGATTCTGATGGCTCTCGTCTGTGCGTTTGGGCTGATATGTCACCAAGTTGACTTCAAGAACGCCTTCGTCAACGCTGAAATGGACGAGGAGGTCTACACCACATGCCCACCGGGATATGGTCAATCAGGAAAGGTCTGGAGACTGCTCAAAGCGCTCTACGGTCTGCGTAAGTCACCAAAGCTCTGGTTCAATGAGCTTGCATCGTTTCTTAAAGATCTGGGATTTCAACATTGTCCAGATGAACCCTGTATCCTCATTAATAATGAGACTCAACTCATTCTCTTTCTATACGTAGATGATCTTCTCATCATCGCGCAACCTGAATACCTTCAACAAGTCAACAATTTCAAAGCAGCAGTACACAGAAAATACGAGATCAAGGATTTGGGCGAAGCAATCTCCTTCCTCAACATCAGAATCCTTCGAGACGTCAATGCCAAGAAGCTTTGGATCTGCCAAGATGGATATATCAACAAACTCGGTATCAAGTTCGGGATCGATCAGTCAATGAGAACGGCAACGCCTCTCACTTCATCCTATCGTCCCCAATCTTTCGAAGGACAGGCCACTATACAACAGATCACAGAGATGCAAGAAAAGGTAGGATCGATTCTATACGCAGCAGTGGTATCAAGACCAGATATCTCTTATGCAGCTAGCCAGTTAAGCCAGCACGCCATGAACCCTTCACCTGAACACCTGCGGTATGCAAACCGAGTTCTCTCATATCTCCAGACCACACAGTACTATGCCATCGAGTTCTCAGGCTCTGTAGATAATGCTACAGAGGTAGAGCCAGGCGATGATGAAGTACTACAGCAGTCAAGCGACGCATCGTTCGCGGATGATCCAGAGACTCGAAAATCCACCCAGGGCTATCTCATGAAGTTGTTTAGCGGGGCGATCATGTGGCAGTCTTCGAAGCAGAAGACTGTAACCACGTCAACGACTGAAGCGGAACTGTTATCGCTGTCTCACACAGCGAGAGAGACTATAGCTCTATACCGACTGTTCGAACAGATACAGTTCGATCCACAACACCAACCACGCATCCTCTGTGACAATCAACAAACAGTGGGACTGGTCCAGAAAGAGCGACCACAACTAACATCAAAGTTAAAACACATCGATATCCACAACTTTTGGCTAAGACAGATCCATAAAGACGGCAAAATTACAGTTCAATGGGTTCCAACAACAGACATGCCTGCGGATGGCTTCACAAAACCTCTTTCAACAGAAAAGCATTCTCACTTCGTGAAACAATTAGGTCTGGTTGATATCTCATCACGGATTGATCCAGAATACGTTTCAGGAGAGGATATTGATCAAGATGATATACAGATCTCATCTGATACAGAGTGAAATCTGGGGGGGTGTGTCGCAGGGTAGGCATTAGTAATCTAGCTATATGCTTTAAGTAACTCTGCGGGATGGAATACCCCGCACAAGAGATAACTTAAGACATCAATCAACACATTTGCTGCTGCTCATCATATTCACTCTAACCCTTTAAGCACGCTCAGTGCGACAACAAACTAGCACTGACGCGACTTGATGTCGCTAGGACGGGACGTAAAAGTTAAGGAGCTACTTTCTCCCCCACCAGCCTGACGGTGGTATTGGGGTAGCTCACTAATGGAGGGCTTGATGGATGACTTTGATTGGCTGGGGTTGCTCACCAGCCAGGTTCCGGGTAAGCTGTGAAAGCGCGGTCGACGGTTTGGCAGCATGGAGGCTAGATGGCATGTTGTGTATCAAATCTATCAAATGTTATTTCAAATCGAGGATCTTGTATTTGTTTGATTGAAATAAAATTTTGGCGTATTTGATTGATTTGTTTGGCAATTTGTTTGATTGGATATGATTTGGGGGCTGCGCTGGTCTCTACGAAGCCTTAAAGGCCCCAGCAACCAACACAATCGAGTCCGAATATCGTCGCCGTAATAATGCGATTCTCAGCGTCATGTCTTACTGTTCTGTCCAAGAATCACCCCTGCCTCCTATGGCCAGATACAAAGCGATTGCTACTAAGAAAGACGTCTCCGATCTACACGACAACACCACCAAGGATACCGCAAGTAGCGCTTTGGGCGATGCAATAACTTCAGTCTTTGTTAAAAGCCGGACGGAGCGAAGTCGGAGGTGCTTTCTCTGTGTAGGTCGGGCGACCACTCTTGAGCCTTCCGATCCAGCAGTCCTTGGGTTAATCAAGCCTTTCTACTCATCGGGGGACTTGAGCAGGCACTTCAAACGTCGCCATCTCTCTAATCTTCAACCAAACGAAAAGCTCCATTGCCGGCTGTGTAATGAGACGTTAGATCATAAGATGCACTTGCAAAACCATGCTGAAACGGTGCATGGAACTGTATCAAGGGGAGGATGAGCCAGCGCGAGTACGTCACAGAGAGGGTTGTGAGTCAAATCAGTGAGGAAATTAGAGGGCATCGTCGGAGAGGCATTTGGTAGAATGGGTTTGACTTTCAGGAAAGACGGAAACTGTTTTATTATTATGTAACGTATGTAATAAGCGTGTGCCATAAACAAGAATGCGGCGCATTTTTCTGATCAATTAAACTTACTTTAATTGATATATTCGTCCTCAAATATCAATAACGACCTGACTGGTCTGTAGGCTGGGGGAAAGTGGATATCAGCCCACGGGATATCATTGGGAGCCGGCCCGTGACAGGGTTAGGCCTAGAGATTTGAAAATCGCCGTATCTTGCTCCGGACCACGTAAAACCTTACTACTACGATATCGTATGCTGATAGCCAGATAAAATAAATAGGGTCCAGAGTTGGTAAACAATTATTTCTTTTCACCTCGCCTCCTTACACATGCTCAAGGATCCATGTTCTCCACTGGTAAGGCAAAATTTTCAGACATATCAGATCAGGCAAATTTTGATGACTGCAAGATTGTTCACGCATGTCGTGGGACCTCCAGTTGATCAAATAGTGTTGCGATCGAAGTTGCGGGTAGCATTCGTCTTCAACCGGACTTTCCGTGAGAGACAGTGTATATCTCTACCTTTCACCTACTCCAATGGCATGAATGCCTGGCCACCCGATACTAGCTGCGCCTAGATATATGACCTAGGGTTTGGCAATCACTGGGTGTTGTCTCTCGTTATTACATTCTCTATAGAGCTAGCTGATCACTATCCCTACGTCCCAAAGGCCCCCAAAGATTGTAACCATTGATACCCTTCAAGCCGAGCCGGCCATTCAGAACCCATTCTTGCAATAGATCCTCTTTTTCAAGAGCGGCGGTGCGAAGCCCAGACGATTGGTTGATAGTCAATAGGTTATCACCACTGTACAGGCTGAACTGTTCGGCAAAGCCTCGTCGCAGCAAACTCATATAAAGAGGTTCTATGTAGTGAAGATGATGAGCGACAGATGCTTGCTTATCGGGATGTGATTTTGACTGAATGAGTAGCCCCGAAGCATCCAAAACTTTGTCCATCAAAGTGGACTCGCTACCAATAGCATGGACGGCGGAACTTCGTACGATACTGCTCTCATCCTTCAAGAGATCCATAAGGGCCCTCATGGTCGTCTCTGATAGTGTTGACTGGTTGCCTACAGCGTGGGCGGCGGAATATCGTACACCACTATCCTCATGCTTGAAGAGATCCACAAGGGCCCTCACGACCATCTGCGACAAGTATCGCCCCGAATTCACTAGCCCGTCCAGTAGTATCCTTTTATCCTGAGACCTACTCAGCGCAGCACATAGCACTTAGTCTAGTAGCTCCGATTCTCTCTCTATAGGACTAACCGTTTTGCCGCCGTTGCATCGCGTACCATCATGAGCCACAACTATTGTCGTCTCTATACCTATATATGGGTCGGGTCAGTTTAAGTACTTAGAAGCACTACAATAATATCGGTTGGCGGCAGAAGAATGCAGCTAAACGGACACACTGGGCTAACCTTGGAGATACACTTCAGCCCTGGTGAAATGCAGAGGATGTTTTGCCGTTACGCGAACTCGCCCTTCCAGTTTGTCGGCCGGTCGCACGCAGCGGAGATTGTCTCTACCCAAGAGGTCTATATTCACGTCGAGGTTATCCACGCACCCGCGTGGAATTGGAGGCTCTGCCATGATCACATGTAGTGCCAGCCCAGCTTGACGCTTTCGACACGTCGTAGGCAGGTACTAGGCGGATGCCATCCATGAATGCCATGGATGCGAAAAGAGTCGGCCTGGCTTGTCAATCTGTCAACGCTTCACTGGCGTCTGGCGGCTTATCTGTCCCTGGCAGCACATGCTAAAGCGAGCCTCATCTCCGCGAGCTCGCCACACCAGGATATCGTAATGAGAAGGATGGTAAGTAGTTGGTGAACCGTCGCCGTATGACTCTAAGGCGCCCAATCAGATTACAGTCATGACAGGATCCCGGTAGTAAGGACCAACTCAGGCAACAGATCTGCCCCTGTTACGTCACCTGCTGGTTCGTGGCTTTCGTGAGCAATTATGCTCTGCCAAGCATAAAGCTAATGCGAGAAACTTTGAAGCAAAGCCTCGCCATTCGACAAACACACTCGTACTCTTTCAATCGACTCTGTAGATCCGCAATCAGGTCTTGCCGCCGGGCTCTGGACCTGCGCTGGGCCTCGCGGTTTGCTGCAGCAGAGGCTACAGTTTTATTCTGCAAAGCAAAAGGTGAGTGACAATTGCCTAAGTTGACTTGTGCAGCATACCTTCCGGGGCATTTTGCCTTAGACCTTGAGTTTGACGTATTAATTCGTATGGATGAAAGACAAGATAGCGTAGCCTATGTGTTTGGGTTGTGGCTTGTTGTGGTTTGTTATAGCTTGACCCGGCTCGAAAATCTTGATGAAAGGTGCAACAACGATGGTGGTGCAGGCGCTGAGCACGGATCGTTTTGTGGGTCAAGCCTAACCAGGCTACCCTTTTCCATTCGATGCAATAGAGATCAAAATGGGCGGCGACAAGTGCAAAACAAAATAAAGGGAAGAAGAAAATAACCATCTATATGGTCATCAACGAGATTTCGAACAGCTTAAGACATCAATGGGTCAAAACACGGGTGGTCAATGGCTCCGAGCCAGGGTAGTGGCGTTATGCTGGGCTTTGATCACGTTTTCACCCCTCATGGCTTCTATTAGAGGAGAACATCCACGTTGCGAAATACCTCGCGTAACATCATTCTCAAAATTCGAACAAGCACCATGTCCCATTTAGTTTACCTAGTTCGACATGCAGAATCGGAACATAACGTCTCAAAAGACTTCTCACAAAGAGATCCACCTCTCACTTCTTTGGGTCTTTCTCAAGCGTCGGCCCTAGCCGATACGTTCCCTCATCCAGGGTCAATCGCCATAATATTCACTTCTCCACTCACCCGCACCCTACAGACGACACTGGCTGGCTTCTCCCATATCCTAAGCAAACAATACCTCAAGAATAATGGCAACGAAGAAGGCGCCCGTCTCATTATAGACCAGGACCTACAGGAGCGAAGCGACCTTCCCTGTGATACAGGATCCAAACGTTCTGCGCTAGAGATAGCTTTTCCGCTCCTTGACTTCAGCGTCTTGGCTGAGGATTGGTACACCAAGCAAGGTCCTCACGCGGCCAACGATTCTGCTGTTGCCGCACGAGCTAAAAGATTCCGAGAGAGGTTGCGGGACACGGTTCAAGACATCCACGGGAGCGAAGATCTCGCGAATATGCCGAAAAATGTTGTTGTTGTCACACATGGCGTATTCATGAAGTATCTTTGTGGAGATATGACGATTGATCTTCCTAAGGCAGGCTGGAGGACCTTTGCGATTGCCGATGGAGTTGATGGTGAAGCTGTATTGAATCCCATCGAATAAACTATACGGTCGATCCTCGAATCGAAGCATTAGATCATATTGTAATGTGACTTACGAAATAATCGCAGCTACCAGGCTCGAACAAGAATCCCAAACATGAGTCGTCGTAGTGACAAAAACTCCGGGCTTTGATGCCTGACTTGTCTCTGCTCGTTTGGCAGGACAGGTAAGTCCGCCACTATCATTCGCACGGTCTCATTGAGGTGGGGATGTTACGGTTACGGCTGCCAGGAACCTGATCGGCGTGAGTCATTTTTTTCTCGGGTCTCACTCCCTCAGCTTGATTGGTGCTGGACGGAATTAAATTAACAGGACCTGGAGTAGCTAAAATTCAGCAACCCCCACGTGCCCTATATTGAGCCAATGGTTGGTTAGTGCAGTTGCACCCTTTTTAACTCCATGGTTACTATCCCCTCAATTGTCGAAAGGCTCCCGCCAGGTCACTGCAGGGATGTCTGCCCAATTAAAACGCAAGAATGAAAGGTACATTATTCCCTACCTAAATTAGCCGGTGGTAGATGTCCCAACAATATTTTGAGTTACAAATCGCGACATCGCACTGCTCACAGCCCCAAATTGATTGATGCCTCTTCCTATTATTGCTGACCGGCGCCAAAGGCTTCCTTGAGCTTCTTTGCCATATTCTCCGCTTAAGCTGCTATCATAATATGCATTGAAGGCCTTGCCTGGTATTGATCGAGAATTCATAGATGACATTGAAATGATTTGTATGACGATTTTGGCAAGAATGGTTAATGATGCATCTTTAGGTTTCCCTCATGTACCTGTCGTGTGACAGGGGTCATGTGGGGCAAGGTACTTTCGGGAGCCTTTCGACAATTGAGGGGATAGTACCTTAAAATGGACATTTATTTATATTTAAAAAGGGAGCTGCTTGTTAAATCGTTCCCATAAGTTTTGCCGACTTTCGGTATACACTCCTTTGCTGCAACAATTTCAGGATGGCAATCCGGTCCGGTAGGGTCTGGGGAGGTTGGCGACCTGTTAATATGAAGGCCAAGTTTTGGAATACCATCAGTACCAATTACCACCTTGGTTTCACATCCTTCGGCGGCCCCCCAGTGCATTTCAAGATCGTAAGTACTTGTACAATGCTTTGACGATGCGTACCTAGCGGTGCATCTAAGCATCAAGACATGACAAGCGCTAACGAATACCCTCCCCTGCCTTAGTTCCAAGACAAATTCGTCGAGAAGCTGCAATGGATCGACAATCAAGTGGTAAGCAAAAGTTTTTTATGGATTATTTGCAAGAAGCACAGTGGCGCTGATTAAGATACAGTACCAGGAACTCTTCAGCGTCTGCCAGGCCTTCTCTGGCCCTGGCAGCACCAAGATGCACTACTGTATTAACCTGATTCATGATGGTTTTCTTCCTGCTTTATTAAGCTTTTTCATCTGGAGGTAGGCAACCCGCAAACACTTAGGCACTCTCCTTGCGGAAGTAACTAATTCCCTTCTTAGCTTGCCCGGGGCCTTGGGAATGTATGGTCTCTCTATTGGCGTCTCCAATATTGGAGACACTCTTCCCGGACCCGTTTACGCACTCCTCTCCGGGCTCAATGCCTCAACTGTGGGCATTATCGCAGTCGCTGCTGTTCAACTATCAGAAAAGGCCATCACTGATAAAATAACTCGTATGCTCGTCTTGCTTGGAGGTGCGGCCGGGATTCTGTACAATGCGCTCTGGTACTTTCCTCTTCTGATGTTCGTGGCCGGCTGTGCAACCGTCGTCCATGACTATCGCTGGCTTCATGGCCCTATCAAGACTATAGTCGGCTTGATGAAGAACCCCACAAAACGGCTTAGGGCACAAGAGCCGGAGTCCATCGAGATTTCGCAGGCGCAATCTGTCGACCAGGACAATAATGCCACTACCACTGCTACTTCTTTCGGCACTATTAGGGAACACAATGACGCGGTGGCCCGCTCGAGCCGAGAAGATAATGCGCAGACTCTCCCAGTCACCAAGAATTCACATTCAGAGGCTGACTCAGAACCACGCGTTATCCCACCAGAGCGGTCCCTCAACTTTTCCTGGAGCTTTGGCCTTGGCATTATTGTCTTCTTTCTCCTCACCTTCATTGTGATTATGGTCCTTCGTGGCGAATTGCGGGTCAGGACGTACCTTTTCAGCTTCTTCGCCAATATGTACCTCGCAGGGACCATTATTTTTGGCGGAGGTCCTGTTGTCATTCCATTGCTCCGCGAATATGTTGTTGCTGAAGGCTGGGTTAGTCCGCGCGACTTTCTTATCGGCCTTGCGATCCAACAGAGCTTTCCCGGTCCCAACTTCAACTTTGCGGTATACCTAGGCGCTTTGACAGCAATTAATGGTGGATACAATTCGGCCGTCGGAGCAACACTTGGGTTTATTGGCATATTTGCTCCTGGTCTTATTACAGTTCATGGTACAATGGGTATTTGGAGCGCTATCCGTGGTCTGAGGTGGGTTAAGTCCCTTCTCAGGGGTGTCAACGCCGGTGCTGTGGGACTCATTTATACCGCGGTTTATCGCTTGTGGCAAATCGGATATATTGCTGAAAGTTTTCAGCAGGGAACGAGCCTGGCACAGGAGCCGTGGTGGGTTGTTGTAACAGCATCGAGTTTTGTCTTCAGCTACTCATTCAACTTGAGCCCTCCGGTTATTATCATCATGGGCGCCGTCTTAGGCCTCATCTGGTATGCAGTTACGCTCACTTAGCGACCGCCACATTGTCTGTGGTGCTTAACACCTTGTTGAGCTTTAGGAAAGCGTTCATATAGCGAGTGTTGTGGAATGTTTCGTACTTATATAATCCTGAATGCTATAATCTAATATTTGGTTGAAGGCCTTATCTTCACTTGTTTTTACAGTCATATCTAGGCTATTTCTGCAACGGCCCATCTCCCCAATGCGTGCGGACCTCCACTGTGGTCACGACGAGGGGCTATAGCCAATTAAAATGCACGAAATAAAGGGTATAAAATTCCTCTGCTAAATTAGGTGGGTATAGAAGTTCCGTAAGAGGGCTCCATTCCGGGGCTTTTGTTAGCTGCCCCTGCCGACACCCTTGACAGGCTAGACAGTCTGATTTGACATGACGGTCGACAAAATTGATCTCGCGGTCCACGTGTTTACGCTGTAATTCGGCATCCTGTAGATCACACTCGTCCCCTGCTCGGTAAAGCTGCCTTGACTGTTGTAACCGTAGGCGTTGATTATGTCGAGCATGAGCTCCGCCTTAGGAATCACTCCGTTCAAGGTATGGTTACACGACAAGCCGTAATAGAAACTCCGGGCGGAGATCCATTTGTGTTAGTCTTGATAATGCATTCCATTAATGTGCAGCTGGCGACTCAGTGCAACTCTCTGTTGGTTTTCTACTTCCCCGGAAACTCAGAGACTGGGCTTAGTTGGATGCATCGCCACTCTTCGGGAGGCAATGCAGTTCCACCATGAGTTGTAGTGACGTGATTCTTCATGTACCAAATTTAGGGGTTGTGGTCAATCCGAGCAAGTTGGAGAAGTACCGGATGTGACAAGTCTGGCGTACAATTGCATCATTGACGGAATAGTTATACAGGCAGTTGCAGGCTTCCTCTTGATCCCGATATCTGACATGGGAACGACCGTCACCAACGGCCGAAGCCCGGGCGCAAGGAAACCGTGGAGCCGCCAAGGACCCATCAACCCCAGACGTTACATATTAGGTAATATCTTAGACAGGTTGGAGACCTCGTCCTTCAACCAGGGGTAGCATCTATGGATGAAGTCAATCAAGTCATTAATATGGTTATTTGTGACCTTTGCGATGCTGTAGAAACCGTGAGAGAAGCAAGCGACAGAGGATACCAGGGCTTACTAAAAAATGGTCATCTTAAAAAAGCCGGGGTACAAAGGTACTCCACAACCAAAGTGTGCTACCAAGTCCGAAAGCCGTCTTGCTACGTACATCTAATGATTGAAGGACCTGATCGGATCCTGACTGTCGCGCTGGGCATCCTTCTGCCTCTTCTGATCCTTGGGAAACATCTTGGCGATCGATAAACTCTACCTCCACCTTGCTGGGTTTGCCGGGGACTTCCCCAGCCTCAAGCTGTCTTTGTTTGTACAGCCTGTAGAACCAGACGTAGTATCTTCGACCTACCCGGCAGAGGACCTTGATTGCGTTGGCGTTTGCTTCCATCCGCTCGTATTGTACATAGGCTTGCCACTGCTCTTCCAGAGTCGGGCTTGCGCCGGCATAGACCAGGAGGGGTTGCTTCCTCAGCGTAAAGCACAGGTCCCACGCATTTTGAAGGTCCGCAAGAGTCCTCCCTCTTTGAATGACCTCTCGCAGGCTAGGTGGCAATCAAGACAGCTCAGTCGGCTGCTGTGTGTAATCCGAGTCGACCTTATTCGACCTTGTTCGCCTCAGACGAGGAACATCGCGCTGCAGGTCATGCTTATCCCCTACCTGTTCTTGCGCTTGAAGGGGTGGGCTATTGGGTTCGGTAGTCGGTCGATAGCAAGGCGTTTGCTCGCGCGACGATAATGGCCTCAGATCGATGTCTTCGGGTGGTGTTGGCGCTGGGGTCGAGTAACCGACTGGTACTGATGCTGGCTGGAATGTCGGGGCTAGGTCAGTGCGGATGCGAGGATCAGTCTTGTTAGCGTGCGATATTTCGGAAATCATGCACATACGACACGCAATCTAGTTTCGTGTTAGATGTAAACGAGTCCCAGAGAAGTAAAGAGGGGCTGGAATTTGGACCTCGATGGTATCCGATGAAACCGCAATCTCGCGTTGCAACCACTCGATGTCAAGATGCATCATTACAGCGGAGAGCTAGGAAGGTAGCGGGGGGAAAAGAAGATTTGGGGGAGCGCGAGGACCCGGACAAGCAACCTGTTCGACCTTCTGCGTCTGTGTGTGTTGCGTCATTCCTGAGTAGGACACGGTGGCATGAACCTGAACGGGACTCCGGGAGATAGTTTTAGAAGTATTGGATCTTGCTTGCCATCAAATTAGCGCCTGTCAGTCCCTCAGAGGACCCACATGCCGACTCGGGCACGGACGAAGGAAAGGGCCACGGTGCTCCGGCCACCACTGACCAGGGGGTAGTCGAGCTATTCACGTGATAGCGCGGCGCTGACTAGGTATCCCGAGTCCGGTCTCGACAGGCGAACAGAATTCTTGAACCTTCAACAATTTCCAACACCATCTCAATCCCAACTCACGAAATTCGACCTGAAAAGCAAAAAATTACTTCAACAATGGGATGCGACTGTTGCGGTCCACCGGCTCCAGCTCCAGCCACTGAGCCGGTTGCTGCACCAATCGCGGCTCCAATTGAGGAGACGAGCAGTTGCCAGGATTCTTGCTGCGATAGCGGTGACAGCGACGCCGAGCCTCTCGAGACCAAGGACCCGGGTCAGGGAGAGCCCAACCAGGAGAAACCGGACGATTGCTGCTCCTCTGGCAAATGCGCGGACGACAAAGCCAAGGATGATACCGACGCGCCTGATTGCTGCCGTGGCAAGGTAGGCCCATGTTGCGACACGTCTTGCCTTGACCGCTTGGCTATGCGGGAATGCGAGATGAGTGCTGTCGCTGCCCCCGGAGCAAACGCCCAGACAAAGAGTGAGTAGTCACGCTTACAGAAAGACATTCGAGATTGCTAACTCGTCTCAGCTTGCAGTGGAGCTGCCGACGGCAAGGCATGCAGCCAGCATAGCACCTCCGCCCTCGACCGCTATGGCGCCACTCTCCAGGCTCTGGGATGCATCTGCCGTGCTCTCATTTCTCTCGGCCAGGAAACCTGCTGTGAAATTCGCGAGCGCCATTCGCTGGACGGGAAGCAGTGCTCCAAGAAGTCGTCTGCTCGCTCCCTTCTTCGCACTTCGCTGGATTCCTGCAGCAGCAGCGGCTCCGTCACGCAGGACCAGGCTGCGCAGAACCGCCTTCGCCTGTGCAAGGGCTCTGGCGAAAGCGTCAAATCTATCAAGAAGTCATCTACGGTTGCCTGCGCACGCTCTTGTTGCTCCAAGGACAAGCCCGCCAAAGAGCCTTCCATCAAGGGCAAATGCTCCAAGTCTTGCTGTTCAGAGGGGAAACTTGCCAAGGCTCCATCCATCAAGCAAAATTGTGCCAAATCGTGCTGCTCCCCTGACAAGCCTACCAAGCCGCCTGTCGCCGACACTGGATGCCTTGACTCTTGCTGCTCCGAGACTGAGCGTTTCGAAGAATCCCCTCCCAAGGTCGGCTGCCCCGGATCTTGTTGCCCCGGGGACAAGCGTGTCAACGACAATGATACCAAGAGCATCTCTGCGGTCTCATGCTATTCGAAGGTCAAGCCCGTTGTTGAACCTCCACCTAGTGGATCTGCAGGATCTTGTTGCGGAACAGACAAGATTGCGGTTGTCAAAGAGACCCTCGATGCCGCTTGCGCTGGTTCTTGCTGCAAGCCACCCAAGCAGGATATCGTCAAGGCACCAAAGACTAGTTGTGCGGACTCTTGCTGCTCGGAAAAGCGACCGGTCAGCTCTCAGGGCTCTTGCGCCGATGCCTGCTGCTCCTCTGCTGCGCCTGATCACAGGTTGGAGGTTGAGAAGGCCCCGATTCAGTCTATCACCGACATAGAGAACCAGGGTACCGGCAAGGAGCATGTTGTTCTCAGCATTTCCGGCATGACTTGTACTGGCTGCGAGACAAAGCTCAATCGAACTCTCGCTACAGTTCCCGCTGTCAAAAACCTGAAGACGAGCCTAGTTCTCTCACGAGCTGAGTTCAACATCGATCTTCGCCTGGGCTCGGTGGAAGAAGTCGTGAAACATCTGGAGCGAACGACCGAATTCAAGTGCGAAAGAGTACAGAACCAGGGATCCAGCCTGGATCTTATCGTCCCCCATGAGCCCTCAAAATTCATGAGTCAGACATGGCCGGAAGGTGTCATTGATATGGCGTTTGTGGACAAGCAGACCGTACGAGTTGCGTTTGATTCGAAGATTGTGGGAGCCCGAGATCTCGCCGAGAAGATCTGGGGTCCGCCAATTGAACTTGCTCCGCCTCGTGGTGATCCTTCTCTGGAGGCTGGGAGCAAGCATGTCCGTCATGTTGGATGCCTGACGCTTCTCTCCGCTGTCTTGACGATTCCTGTTCTTGTCATGGCATGGGCTCCTCTTCCCGAGCGGGATTTGGCCTATTCCTCGGCTTCACTCGCGTTGGCTACCATCGTTCAATTTGTTATCGCAGGACCTTTCTACCCTAAGGCTCTGAAGGCGCTTGTTTTTTCCAGAGTTATCGAGATGGACCTCTTGATCGTCCTGAGCACCAGTGCTGCCTACATCTTCTCTGTGGTCTCTTTTGGGTACTTCGTCGCAGGGAAACCCCTTTCGACTGGACAATTCTTCGAAACGAGCACTCTCTTGGTCACTCTGATCATGGTTGGCCGATGGGTTGCAGCTCTCGCTCGCCAGAGAGCTGTTGAGTCCATTTCCATCCGGTCACTCCAGGCATCGACAGCCATCCTTGTCGACAAAGAAAGTGGAACTGAACGTGAGATCGACGCCCGACTTCTTCAATATGGCGACACATTCAAGGTTCTTCCAGACACCAGGATTCCGACCGATGGCACCATTGTCACCGGGTCTTCTGAGGTCGACGAGTCTATGCTCACGGGTGAATCCAGGCCGGTGGAGAAGTATCCCAAATCGGTGGTGATTGCTGGATCTATCAATGGACCTGGAGTCATGACTGTTCGGCTGAACCGTCTGCCTGGTGACAATACCATCCACGCCATTGCTGCGATGGTTGACGAGGCCAAACTGTCGAAGCCCAAGTTACAGGACCTGGCAGATCAGGTAGCATCCTACTTTGTCCCCGTGATGGTGGCGTTGACGATCATTACGTTTGTCATATGGGTCGCAGTGGGCATGACTGTCCGTGGTTATGGAGGATCTGAAGCTACCATTCAGGCCATCACCTACGCCATCACTGTTCTCATCGTCTCTTGCCCATGTGCAATTGGATTGGCTGTTCCGATGGTCATTGTGATTGCCAGCGGAGTTGCGGCGGAACGGGGTATCATCTTCAAGTCCGCGGACACTATTGAAGTCGCCCATAAGACTTCGCACGTCGTGTTTGACAAGACGGGAACTTTGACTCGAGGAAAGCTCTCCGTTGTTGGAAACGAGTGCGTCGACGAGGACAAACTTCCGCTTCTTCTGGGTCTGGTTGAAAACAGTCGACACCCGGTTTCGGTTGCTGTAGCTGCCCACCTCAAGGACATCGGAATCATGACTTCGACTGTTCCTGAGCCGAAGAGTTTGACTGGTAAAGGTGTCGAAACCACCCTAGGCGATCAGAAACTTCGAGCTGGCAACTCTCGCTGGCTGAATCTGTCGGACCATGAACTCGTCCAGCCGATGCTTGTTCAAGGCTGCACTGTGTTCTGCTTCACGATCGACAATGAGCTAAAGGCTGTCTATGGACTTGAGGACGAACTTCGACCTGATGCTGCGGAAACGGTTGAAACCTTGCAGAAGCGTGGTGTCTCGGTACATGTGGTTTCTGGCGACGATGACGGAGCCGTTCGCACCTTGGCATCCAAGCTTAGCATTCCTGGTGACAATGTGCGCTCTCGAAGCTCGCCTGCCGACAAGAAGGATTACATCCAGACTCTCCTCGGTACTGCCACAGATCGCAAGAAGCCGGTTGTCGTTTTCTGCGGCGACGGCACGAACGATGCCGTTGCTCTCGCGCAAGCTACTATCGGCGTCCATATGAACGAAGGCACAGATGTCGCTCAATCCGCTGCGGATGTTGTTCTCATGCGTCCTTCTCTGGCTGGTATTCTGACCATGATGAACGCGAGTCGGAAATCCGTCAACCGCATCAAGTTCAACTTTGGGTGGAGTTTCGTGTACAACACCTTCGCAGTTCTTCTTGCTGCCGGTGCCTTTGTCAACGCAAGGATTCCTCCAGAGTTTGCGGGACTGGGAGAGTTGGTGAGCGTGCTGCCAGTCATTGCTGCCGCGGTGCTTCTGCGCTGGTCGAAGATCTAGACTCAGAGCGCCATCATTGCACAAGTGACGACGGCTGAAGTTCCACAAACTCTCCTTGATATCCGACTGGAATCGTTGTCACCAAAGACGGGATGCAATAGCTCCCATCGTTGTCGAATTTTGAATCGTATCGCAGAGTCCTGCAGTCCTGTCGCTATCGATCGTTCCATGGCTTGCTTCAGTATCAGAGAAGGCTCCTTTTAGACAGTCTTGACACCAGCCGTATCGTTCTACACATGTCCTATCCCATAGGACGCACTCTTAAACAACCACGACTCCTCGATAGATTGAGTTGCAAAGGGGATTCTGTGAAGGGGCTCACAGTTTCTCATCTTGGCTTCATTCTCACCGTTGAAGAAGTTTTATATAACTATCTATAGCTGCCTTTCATGATTGGTTTGGAATCTGTGGCAAAATTTCCAGCTAAGATCCAGATATTAAATATTACACTCGCTTACAGGCGAAGCTTTTGATACATCCGCTCATTATTCCCAGAAGTGACTCCCAAGTAATTCGTACCGTAACGCCGTACTATGAGACCACCAGTTTAGAAACATCAAGTATTAAAAGAACTCGACCAACCACATCCAGCAAGACCGGATAGGTACAATGGCGAGCAGAACCCACCATAGCTCGACCGTCAGTTTCACCTGCAACCAATGTGGTAGTCGCTTGCTGAATGCTGAACGATGCGAGCATGTCCTTCTTCCATAGACAAGACAGCTAAGGCCGGGCCGAGACTCACCAGTTCTTGGCTTTTTTCGAGTGTTCGGTCATTTTTCCAGCATTGAACAATTTCATAGACAGTTGACAGTACACACTTCGCATCGCATGCGGACTAAAACTGTCGGCAGTTTTGTTGCGACTATAAGTAGCATGACATCACGATGACGCACATGCATACTCCGATAGTGGACAGCATGAGGCGTATTATTTTAATCGATCATAACTTTTGTGCAATTAATACTCACACACGTGTTGTCCTACAAATTTCAACCGGTCTGGCTTGTTGAGCGTCGACAGCGAGTCAAATGGATAGGCAATTGATAGGGGTGCCGCACCATTTTGATACGGGTGCTGCAACCTTATGGGTGCCGCACTTTTAGCGCTTCTCATTGGCCCAAATCTCACCTGTTAGTGCACCGGTACGTACCAAATTCTGCCGCACTTTTTGCCAGTTGGCCACCAAAGCTTCGTATCGCACTGAGCGTGCTTAAAAGGTTAAAGTGAATGTGATGAGCAGCAGCAAATGTTTTGATTGATTGTTGTTCTTCGTACGGGGTATTCCATTCCGCAGAGTTACTTAATGCATACAGCTAGATTACTAATGCAGTTGTTTCCTGAGGCCGTGAAGATCATGCCTACCCTGCGACGCTTCGACCAGTCGTCAATTCACGTCGCGTCCAACTCTCTCCTGTAAAAAATTTTCCTTGGCACCCGCTGTTAGCGCTCTGCTAGGGTAGAGAATTTTTGCAGGCTAAAATGGCAACAAAAGCAGCTGTGGGGCTAACGGGACCCTAACAGCTGCCTGAAGAAAGGGATTCAGAGAGTTGACCTTTCTTCGCGACGAGTGTCTGCAACGACATTGAGCTTCGCGAGCTCTTGACATCGCCTTCGGGCGCTACTTCTCACGTGTTATTTGCGGCTTCTTCTTACCTCGACATTCCGGCTTCGCGAGCCTTCGACAATCCGGACTCTGCGCCCCTCGACTTCCCGTACGACCGACTTCTGCAGCCCTGGCTGCCCAGACGACATTCGCGGCATCTTGCCGCCCGACATTGAGGGTCGTCGCACCCTCACCCTCACACTCACCTGCAGCTTTGCGCTGCCTCAACCGACCTCTGCAGCTTTTGCTGCCCGAACAACACCAGCAGCCGCTGGCTGCTCGACTTCTTGGGCCCTCTGGTGCCCCCTTATCTCGACGCACGGGTCCCAAATGGCTCGCTGCCCTTTTTGCAGCTCGGAAGCTGCATAACCGATCTCTGTAGTCGTGTACTGCCCAGAGAACCTCTTCTTCTTTGCAGCCTCGGCTGCCGCCCGGAACACGACCGGGCTTCGACAATTGGTCTCACTGGCTGAGACTACTAGACAAAACCGCTGGGTCGAAATGGTACAGAGCTTACCTGGAGATCGTGGAACGAGGCGATTGTCCCGTCCACAGAGCAGCGTTCTGGCCGCCTTGGGTTTTTCTCCTGCGAGGGTTTTCCCCAAGGATGCACGGTTCTAGGTTGCAGCTACTGGCGATCTTAGGGGTCATGGATTTCCTATTTTAAGGTATGGAAAGCTACTTGATCTATCTGTGCAAGAGAATTCTAGGCTGGAGAGGGATCTGTTCCCGCTGACGGGATGCCCTCTTGAAGCAATGCGCCTTAGTGCCGATGATATGCTGGATGAACTAGATGGAATAGCAGTTGCATGGAACTTTGCCTGAACTACCTGCTTTGACGTCCAAGACGATGCGCTTGAAACTACCGTAGGGCTGGCTACGAGTAGGAAAGTACCACTTGGGGGAAAGGGCCTGCGAAGCTCTCCGTTGATGCGAGTGGACATTGCAGGTGTTCTAGGTGGAGTCGGATGCGACAGCAATTGTAGATAGTTTAGCTCAGCACGTCCTGTGCTCCCCTAGGAGACTTTTCGGGGCCTATGGCCCCCCGGACGAAAAATATACATACATACATACATACATACATACATACATACATACATACATACATACATACATACATACATACATACATACATACATACATACATACATACATACATACATATTTCCAACGTTCAAAGAGTATAAATTTGCACCGCTATTGCGTTGCAATCGTTTTGGACTAAATGAGGGAAGATGGGGACTTCGTCGAGACAACGGTGAAGCCGTCAACCTATGCATAAACCGAGAGCTTTCCGCGTAAAGCCGAAGCACAGCACTGTAAGCAAGGCCCGAATAAATCGGCATATAGTTCCGCCGAAGTATTCGTGCTAGTGGATTCAGGTCGATCTGGATCGTCGGTCATGTCGGAGTTTGAGCTTTGAGCATTGACAAAGGCTGAAAATCGAGCTCTGATCTGGCAAGTTAAAGTAACGATAATTGGCCGATTCTAGACCGTTAAAACTTGAACTTGGCTCTATTCGAGAAAACGCGACCAAGAAAAGGGCAAGATGTTAAGCGAAGTAACCCTTCCAGATTTGACCTGCTTATCCCTTGAGTTGCGTTGAGCCTCCCGGCCGTACCGAGCCCCACATCCCCACATTTGTCATGAGGTACATGAGGGGAACATAGTAATACGTCATTAATTAATTTCGCCTTTATTACCCTACAAATCATTTCGAATTAATTGATGACTTCCCAATCAATACCTACAGAGATATCGGCGGAGGCGCTTAACGCATATGATGATAGTAGCTTCATCAACGAAGAGAATAGCCGTCAAGAGCATGAGGGTGATAGCACCCGGAGACCGGCTTTTCCAGCTGCCGAGGACCGAGGCTTCGATTTTCAACCCTTCGAGGTGCCGCGACGAGAGCTACTCGTTAACAAGCTGCCCCAAAGCCCGCTATTACTTTTCCAACACTTCGTGCCTATTTCCTTAGTTAATAACTGGGTTAAATATACTAATAACTGGGTTAATAGCCTACTTCGGAGCGGCGTTATTGATAGCCAAGAACATGAAATAACAGAAAGGTCACGCCTCCGTACCTGGAAGCCAACTACCGCCGCAGAGGTATATGTATGGCTTGGGATCCTTATTTATATAGGGGTCCATAGCGAAATAACAGTCCAAGACCATTGGAAGACCCCTCAGCTAGAGGATCAGCGGCCTGAACACTCAATCATTAAGTTCATGACTTATGACCGATTTCAACTCCTTCATCGTCACCTCCGGCTCTTTGACCACACTAAATTCTCTAACGATGACGACTTTCCTATCATCTTCCAATGCGTTGAGCTATGGTCTCAACATATTCAACTTGCAACAACAGAGCTTTGTGATCCGGGCTCACATCTTGCCGTAGACGAGGGTATGATCCGATATACCGGAAGGAATAAGCAAGTTACATACGTCCCCAACAAGCCTATCGACACAGGCCTCAAGGTCTGGATAGCTGCCCAGCTAGGCCTCTTTATGAGGTGGATTTGGCACCAACCTGGCGCAAAATACGGCCCAGTTGGTATTGAGAGGAAGAAGCCGGCATCGCAACGAGGGGGGAGGAAAGGAAAAGGAAGAAGTAACCAACGGAGGGCTCCTAACGAGGTTGATGAGGTCAAGGAAGTTATCCACGTCATTACAGAAGCTGGGGATAAGATCATGGCATTGAACTCGACCCAAAGCGTCGTTATTGCCCTTATTAACCTGTTGCCGGAGTCGACATATCACGTCTTTGTGGATAACCTCTTCTCGTCGCCAGACCTCTTCCGCTCCCTTCGTCAGCACGGCCACGGTGCAACCGGCACAGCCAGGCCTAATTGTGGCATCTACAAAGGTCTTGCAGACGCCAAAAAGGCCGATAAGGCAGGGAAGTCAGGGTTCCAATTTAATGAGATCAAGGTCATCCCAACGGCCGATAATCAGGTAGGAAGACTCGACATTCTTCCTGATAATTCAGCCAATAACTTATCTTCTTCTTCTCTAGGTCAATCAGATCGCTTGGAAGGATAATGCCCTCGTATTGCTCCTTTCAACCGTCTTCACTGGCGATGAGAGGTGTGATCGTTGGAGGAAGAGACCGTCAACGAAGACCCCAATGGTACGGCCAATACAGCGCTTTTTTAGTGGCGAGCCGGTCAAGCTCATATCGATCCCTACTATCGCCGCTTCCTACAACGACGAAATGAATCATGTTGACCGAGGCGACCAAAGGAGGTCATATCTTGGCTATGATCATCCTATCCGCCGGGGCGCTTGGCAGGCTATTGCTTGGACCTTCTTATTAGATGTAGTCCTTATAAATAGCTTCCTCTTGCAGCTACATGGGCAGCCGGTTTGGAGCCATTATATGAGTCAGAAGAAGTGGAGGGAATGCCTCTATAACGCGGTCTTCAAGGTCTTCCATCTACAGAGCCAATCAAGGCAGGCATTCCGAGCCGGGGACGAATTTACGCCTGTATCACAACATAAACACATCCGAAGAGGTAAAAAGTCAGACTGCCTTGCTTGTAAGGGGCTTCAATTAGGGCAGCCAAGGTCAAAAAGTACAAGGAGGTCTTTGGCGCCGGTAAGCTATAATAAAAGAAGGCGCCAGTCAATTTGGGGATGTGAGCAGTGTGATGTAGCGATTTGTAACTCGAGAGATTGCTGGTACTTCTATCATAGGCTAAATTAGGGGGGGGGCAATAAGTACCTTTGTACTGATGCATTTTAATTGGCTGTAACCCCCTGCCGTGACCTGGTGGGAGGCTCAACACAACTCAAGGGATAAAACGCACCTTCCCCGAGCGCCACTGGTTTTGCCGTACCTGAGGCATGACATTAGTGGCGCCTATCAATATTGGCTGATTTTGACTCCGTTTTCTGCTCGAGCCCTCTATTCTTTCAAACATCATCAGCACCCGCCCGAGCCACGGCGGCTCATCAGACATCCTAGTAATGAATATATATCCATTCTTAAGAGCATATTCATTCTTAAGCTTATGCATAAGGATAAGAATATAGAGGCTGCCAATAAATACATAATTCTTTTATTCTTAAGAATATGGATCCGCCACGCCCCTCCCCACAGGGATGCCGCCACCACGCTTGCTTACACGAGCGTGTTTCATGTTGATTGCAGCCGTGCACCGCAAGGACCGACCACTGCCGTCGGGGTCCGCGGCGCGGCTGGATGATATCGAGCGACGAGAAGTAACCCCGTACGACCGCATCAAGCAGTCAATGAGTGTCTCGGATGAACCTGGAAATGAGGATGAATTCGAAAAATTCATCAATTCTCCGCCAAGACCTATGACGACAAGCACGCCTCTTGAATGGTGGTGCCGAGAAGAACAGAGGATTGAGTATCCACGTTTACATCCGTTAGCCATTGTGTCAGATATTAAGGTGAATCGTGTATATTTCTTGATTCTGTCGCAATCGAAGGACTATTGAGACCTTATATCTTCGACTGGTTCCTTCTAGGACTTAAGTCCTAGAAAGTCCTAGATGAAAGTCCTACGATCTAAGTTTATGGCTTCAAACTTTAATCCTGAACCTTAATCCTGAAGTTGAGGGTGAACCCTCCAACATTCAACACACCCCCTCAGGCTCAATAGGTCCCAGTTGAGCCTGCATTTCCTAGGCAGTCTTCTGTCTTCTGGAGCCTTGCTTCTATTCCTTCTTGCTTCCGGCTCTGCTGCTGTCTTTCCTGAATATCTTCCAGGCCAAGTTGATAGAGGAAGCGGTTCCATTTGCCTGCCGGCAGGGCCTTTGTTAATCCGTCTGCGATCATATCCGTTGATTTGGTGTATTTGACTTGAACTCTCCCTCCTTGGACCTCCTGTCTCAGCCAGTGGTTGTGAATATCCACGTGCCGCAACTTAGTCTTCAAAGTAGCGATTTCGGCGGTCACAAGGTTGATAGTTTGAGTGTTGTCGCAGTCGATACGGATAGTCGGATCATCCATCTGAACTGTAAGCTCTTTCAACAGCCGACTCACATAGAGGGATTCCTTAGCAGCCTGTGCCAGGGCTAGGAGCTCTGCCTCTGTTGTGGATGTGGTGACTGTATTCTGCTTGCTAGCTCTCCAGCCGATCAACCCGTCGAATAGTCGGATAGTGTACGCTTGGGAGCTTTTCCGATCAAGGGTGTTATCGGCAAAAGAAGCGTCACTAGCAACAGTAAGACCTCCGGGTCCTCCGAATCGTAGGGCTCGGTGCCTTGTGTGTGAGAGGTAGTGGATAACGCGGTCGGCGGCGTCTTGGTGTTCTTGGCCAGGGTTGACAAGAAATCGGGCCAGCCTGGAGGCGGCGAAGGCTATGTCAGGCCGGGTGTTAACGGCGATATAGAGGATCGAGCCGACTTTGCGTTGATATCGTTGAATTTCTGCCGGGGCTGCTAGCCCTGTTTGAGGTCGTAGCTCTGTTTGAGTCATTGGTACTGTAGATGTTCCCTTGTTAGCTAGATTTGCGATTTTGTCAATGTAGGCTGTTTGAGACAGCCAAATCTTCCTTGCAGGTCGGTCCCGTATGACTTCCATTCCTAGGAACCATTGCACGGGGTCTCCTCCTGTTAGCTTGTATTTTGATCCAAGCTGTCTAGTCAATTCATCGGCCTTGTCTTTCCGGGCCTTCCTGTAAGCGATGATAACATCGTCAACGTAAAAGAAGAAGAGGACTCCTTCCTTCTTGAAACAACAAGGTTCGTGAGGAATCTGTGTGTAGCCTATCTCTAGGAGGGTCTTCGAGAGTTCTTTCTGCCATAGCAAGGGAGAGGCCGTGTTTATCGAACTTGTAAACGTATACCCACATACAGCCAAGGACTTGTTGGTCAACGGCTCGAGCGTCTTTCTTTCGAATCTCAGTCCAGGACCTCATTTCCTTGTGACTCTGAAGGTGGCTTTCTTCAGCCTCTTGAAAGAGCATTCCAAAAGGGTGATGCTTTAGGTCTTGATGTTTCGCCGGGGGCGGCGGTAGGGAGTTTCGATGCATTTTCACCCCTTGTCGGAGCTTCCTTTCGATTGAGGTCTGGAGAGGGGACTTTGTTCCGGCTAGGAAGGCCGCTTGCCATGAGACCGTTTTGTTTCCTTCGTCTGATAAGGCCCTGGAACTGTGCGCTAGTAGAGCTGACAGTGGTGTGACTGGAGGTGTTGGAAGGATATCAGAGTCTTCTGACTGTTTGAGGCTGTTTTCTAGGGCAGTTGCCACGATGCAGTCTTCTGTTTCGTCTGTAATAGGGCTGCTTTCATCTGCTAGGGTGGTTGTTGGAAGGGCCACTTCAATACAGTCTTCAACCTGTTCGGCTTTTTCGTTGTCGTCTTGTTCCGGCAGGGAGGATCCTTGTACGAACTTGGCAATTTCTTCTAGGTCAGCTTCGAGCAGTTCATCCTTGAAGCTTTCCCAGTCTCCGTTGCAGCCTTCGTCTTCATTAAATATGACGTCTCGAGTGTTGACTATCCGGTTGATCGTGGGGATCCAGATCCTATAGATGTTCGAGGACCTATATCCCACTAGGAAGCCGATCCAACTTTTGGGCTTAAGCCGCATCTTGCGATTGACCTTCTGCTGGGCATCTGAGGTCATTGCATAGGCCTTGCAGCCAAATGCCCGTAGGTGTGTTTGATCCGGCTGTTTCTTCGGCTGTGGAATCCCTGCTGCTTTGGCTGATGCTGTATGCAGTTGATCATATGGCGTTTTCCAGCCTGATGCGTAGTTCGGCGTTCGGTTGTACAGATAAACTGCTGTCCTTCCAATTTCTGGCCACAGCTGGTGAGGAAGCTTTGCGCCTGTTCGCATAGCCCTTTCCTTGTCCTTGACTACACCCCCTGAGCGTTCGGCACCCCCATTCTGGGCTTGTGTGTATGGGGCCGAGGGCTCGATGATGATAGCTCTATTCCTCAGGAAGTCTCCGATTTTCGGCTTGATCTCCGTGATCTCGTTATCACATTCGATGACTTTGACCTTGAGGCCGTGTTGGACTTCCAGATGACTTAGGAAGGATTTGAAAGCGGTGATAATAGCTTCTGTCGTCCGGGCTGTGAGGTAGTAATCCCAGATGTAACCCGTAGCTCGGCAGGTTAACAACATCTGTGAGGTATAGCCGCCTATGCCTTCTTGGTAGTCATGGAAGTCAATGGCGATACGCTCGCCGGCCTTCTGATCGGATTGTCTTGGGGCTCGTCTGATTTGTCTCTTGATCTTCGATATGCCACAGGCGTCGCATTCAACAGTGGTTGGTCCTCGTATTCGCACCCCCTGAGAGGCCGAGATAAGGTGTTCCAGAGCTTGTGGTCCCGGGTGCCCTAGGCGACTGTGCCAGCGGATAGCTTCTCCCGCCAAAGGGGCCTTCTTTGTGTAAGAGCTGAATCTGTGGGCCACAAAGGCTGCTTTTGGGAAGCTTTCTGACTGGTATTCGATGACATACTGGCCGTATAGGTCATGGATTGTGCATGCAATCGTTCGGTCGAGTCGTCGGAGGGTCGTTGGGTTACACCTATTATCCCAATAGAAGCCTTTCTTTCGTAGTTGACGTAGGGAGACTAGGGTCGTAAGGAGCCGAGGGCAATAAGCTACATCTTCAAGCATTAGGACTCGAGTTCCTGTGAGCCTGAAGGTCATGGTTCCGTAGCCTACGATGGGTAGTTTTTTGGCCTCCAGCCCAGATGAAGTCGCCTGGAATAGCCGGCTGGAATCTCGCTAGTCTGTTGGCACTGTTTGTGATTGAGATAGTAGCTCCGGGGTCGAGGATCACGGAGTTCCGTAAGGGATAGTTATCCCTTTGGGCTGCAAAGGCGGCCTTGATTTCGGCGATTGGTCGGCCGTACAGTCATTGGTCTGAGTTTTCTTCCTTTATTGGCTGCATCAAGTTTCTGTCTTTTGAGGTCCTGGCCTTCTTCCGTGTGAGGGCTTTTACCTGGGCCTCCAGGTCTGAGTCTTCCTCGAGAGCTTCTTTCACCTTCTTTTGGATCTTCTCTCGGGGCTTGAATCCCTTCCATGCCTGATTTGGAAAGACATAGAAGCATTTCGCAAGTTCGTGGGATAACCCACACGCCGGGCATTCCTGTCTCTTCTCAGGATACCTCTGGCGTTTTCTTTCTCCCTTCTTCGAAGATGGGTACTGACCTTCAATGATGTGGGCGTCCCCTTCATCATCCTGGGGATCCTCCCCAGCATAGCTCGCAGAAAACGCACCGCGGGCCACTCGGCCCTTCGTGGCTTCTGCATCTTGGAGCTCATTTCGGAAGGCGTTCCCTACATCTCGGTATGAGAGGGCCCTGTTTTGCAATAGGGTCTTTGAAGAGATTTTGTATGAGGCAGTCCAGCTGGGCAAGATGTGTGTGGTGACACTGAAGAAGTCCCAGGCCCACGCACTGTTGTGGAGCGTTTCAGGGACCTCTCGTTGTCGCCCTTTCGCCATTGCCTCTTCCCATTGATCTAGCCACTTGAATGCTGCTTGGCTGACCGTCTTTGGGGCAGTTCTTAGTAATGTAAGATACCTATTTCTGGCATCCTTCGTTTCATCTTCCTCGGTCCTTCCACACCTGGCACGAAGGTTCCTGTGCCATTCGTATATTGATTCATTTGACTGACAGCAGGTTTGAATCAGGCTAGGAGAGACCGTACGGATAACCCAGTCTTGAAGGGTTCCAAGAGCGGTTTTCTGTTTTTCGAAAACCTTCTCTTGTAGCTGATAAAAGGTTAAATCCTGCTGGAAGATTTTCTGGCCCTGGTCTGTTAGGTCAGAGATAGACCATGTTCCATTTGCCGTTTCCTGAATGTCGTCTGGGGCGCCGTCTTGAGATTCAGCAGTATGAGACCGGATTGTTCGTTGGGCTGTAGCGGTCTTCGTATATCTGCGTTTTCTTATATCCGGGATAGCTGGTTCGTCTCCGAGGAATGTCTTGCTTTTGAGGTGCTGCTGAAGACCAAGACGATGGGCCTGAAGGAGGAATTCATGCTCCCAGTTGAGGAAGTCCTCAGGCTTAGAGAGGGTAGCCGTAAGACCTTCCTTTTGGGGCTTGGATAGGGACATTATGTATGAGAAAGAGGGTTCTTCAAGGTATTAAAAAAAAATGGTTGAGGCAATGAGACTCTTAATTGTCAGATATTAAGGTGAATCGTGTATATTTCTTGATTCTGTCGCAATCGAAGGACTATTGAGACCTTATATCTTCGACTGGTTCCTTCTAGGACTTAAGTCCTAGAAAGTCCTAGATGAAAGTCCTACGATCTAAGTTTATGGCTTCAAACTTTAATCCTGAACCTTAATCCTGAAGTTGAGGGTGAACCCTCCAACATTCAACAGATTTTTGATCTATTGGCTTGTAAAGTACGTTATGGATTTTTCAAAAATCGCTGTTTAAGGTGCGACATTCGCTTATCATGCACGTTATGCATGGATATTTGCCACTTTTTCTGCGACGAAATGCCCAATATCAGCCATAAGTGATATATTTAACGCGGTAGGGCCCAGAAGGTCATACAAAATGCCATACGGCTGTATCGTATATAGGATAGGCCCAAATTCAAACTGGCACCAGTACATGAACTGGCCTGAATAGCCTATCAGCATGTTGGAGCTCGGAACCCGCAACCTCAGGGTCACGCCTCTCGTTAACTTCAGCTCGTTGAACTTCCAGACTCCGGTCCGGCCGTGTCACATATACTGACTTACACAATGGACAATTGAAATGCTGCCGTTGAAACCAAGTGTCAATGCATTGTCTGTGATAGACATGCTCGCATTTCAATCGTCGAACGGTATCCAAACCCTCAAAGATTTCGAGACATATCGCACTAAGTAATTTAAGTAGTTGGCAGTTAAAAGTGAAAAAAGAAAAAATCAAGAACGTACCAGAGTTCTAACGAATTGGATGTGTGCGAAGCCAAGGATGACCGCGATTTGGACGCCTGGGGAAATTTGTAGTTTTGGGTTGGACTTGTGGAGTCGAGAGTTTGGAGACCAATTGTACCGTTTGGGGCGTCTTCCCGACTCTCAATATCCACCTGTGCTCCTGGGTGTTGTCTTCTCCGATTCAATATGCATCTTGATCGTCAGTGTAGAGGCACAGGCAGCTAGGGGGGAGAAAACACTGACGGGCCAAGGGCCATTAGGGCCACCACGGCCAGTACGACCGCAGCAATCACGCCCAGCATGGTCGAAATCGATGGTCCGGAATCGGACCCGTTTGCCTTCGTTGAATTTGCGTAGGTTCCGTCCATGGCGTATGCAAAGCCTCGGGTACGCGAATAATCCCAGCAATTAAAGTGGACAATGAATGATCTGTAGCAAAATGATAGTCAGAGTGTCAGGTTTTTCCACACAAATTACAATGTAAATAGGGGCTTTATAACGACAACTCATTTTATCGCAGTGTTTCACTAAATGCTGGGTTGATTGAGCACACCTTTTTTGACGAGAATAATGAAGAAGGCGAGGCGAATTTCATACTACGGAACCATGGATTTCGACAGGCCGGGGAGTGCGATTATGAGTTGTTAATATTTTTGGTTTCAAAAGAAATACCCCCCCCCCCCCCCCCCCCCCCCAAAATAAAAAAGCCTGACATTCAACCTTCGTTAGATGCGGAGTCAGATAGCGGTCCGAAATTAGACTTTCTAGTTTTAAGGAAGTGGACAGCTGAAATCAAAGGGCCCAATCGCAATCCAGCCACACCACCAAGTAGTGCATGGCATGCAGCATTGAGGCTCACGCTAACGATGTTTCTTGTAGTGCTGCCGGGCTATACGGATAATGCATCATCTTTACGATGTGGCCGCTGCAAGGTTCGCGCTACGCTTATCGACGACGAAAGTTGCTTGGAAAAGAGGCGTTGGTAGAGGCCGTACACCGTGACGGGGGTGTCCTCAGAACGCTCAAGCAGCGCTCACATCCACAATCTGTAAATAATTTTTAATAGATGACGAGGTTGTCCTATCAGCTTGCCGATTTGCATGTGCGTAGTAGTCTGTCGAGCCCTCCTGCCCGGCAAATAATGGCGACACTGAGGGATGACAACAGATATGGCCTTATCCATTCTGATATTTCGTGTGACCTTTCTTAGGATACCGGGATAAAACGCGCGACTCATTCTAAATGAGGCTACTTAGGGGACCAATGGCGATGGGGCTGGGCACTCATCACAGTGAGGTGGCTGGGTACAGCGGCTTCAGTGAACCCGACGGCACTAGGGAGTCTAGACTGCGGAAATCGTCAGCATACATTGAATTGGATCTTTCACAAGCCCTGATTCTCCGATGTGTCTCATTGGATGTGTGTATATTCTTGGTTGAGTTGCTTCCCCGCTCTAAGTCCCATATACATCTTAATGCTGGGGTCCGACTGGAGTATCACTGCTATAACGATCGCACGCCCCATTATGTATAATACACAACGTGACATAAAATCCTAGGTAATTGTTCGATAAGTTTATTAATACCCTGGGTGTGCGGATGTTATTGCAACTCACCTGACGCTCTCGTCGACATTAATAACAAAAACGAAAAACACTCCCACAAACGTTCTTTGTCTCAGACAATATTCATATACTACAATGGCCCGATTCCAGGATGTCAACTAGGTACCCGTGACAATCAACTCCCCAAACTTGTGTTCCTCCCTCAATTGCAGCGCCTCTTGATACACTCGCAACTCTTCCTTCTCTTCACGACTCAAAAGACTGGTCCAGGTAAAGACTTGATCCTGGCACCAAACATGGAACCTCCGCGGTCTCTTATTCTGTGGGTCGTCAAGCATCTCCATCGTGATCAACCGTTCATCATCCCAAATTCCGAAACCTAAACGTCTGAACGGCCGGAATAACAGTCCTTCGCTCAATCGAGGAGTTCCTCTGGGACACAATAGCGACCCAGCCCAACACAGACCCTTGCATCCCACAAGTACCTTGTGACAATGATAGGTGAAGGCATCTTTCTGATCAATGCAAACTAAGGGGGGAGGATGCGGTACGACCACTGGCCACTCGAACCTTGCATCTTCATACTTTGGCGGCGGTAGTTGTAAGTGTTTGCCTCTCAGCGGCCTGAACCCAGTATTAAAGAAAACGCTCAACCCCTTGTTCACATCATCAGTATCTCCCACACAAGTACTTTCATCTGAAGACTCTTTCAAATGTCGAACATAGAGCAGTGCAGCCCACAATGGCTCCCGGGCAATCCATAGGCTGGACTTTTTGAGGCCTGATAAGCACGTTTCTCCAGATCCCATATCACGAATTGCCTCGACATCAGATGCCGACCAGTCAAGCCGTTTCTCAGAAGCCGCATTGCTCAGCTCGTAACACAGTTGGAGACACCAGAAGCCTAGGGTAATTCGTTGCATCTCATACCATGACGCTTTGCCTCCAGCATCAATGGTGTATGACTGACCCCACATCTGGCCGTCTGGCCGTCGGTTCCACGGCAGCGTTCCGAGATGGTAGCATTTATCAGTGAGGTGTTGCGGCTCAGTAGCCTTGATGCGCTGGTGGAAGAATTCAAAACACTCCTCCGAAAGTAAATTGGTCTTTCGGATGAGTAATAGCATCTCACGTGGCGTAAATGCTCGGGGACCTTCCATAACATGACGGAGACGAATATGTGGGATACAATCTGGTGGACAAGACCGAAGATCTGGGACGCGCTCGCCTTGAGCGTTCTGGAATGTAGTCGGCATGATGAATTGGATGATCAACGAGGTAAGATCATCCGCTGGCTGATTTATCATAGAACAATGCCTGACGAGAGCTACTAAGCGCAAGATGTGTGGTACCCAAGGTGTCGATGTGAGGTTCTGAGCTGATAATGCAAGGACATCATCGAGAACCTCAGCGCCCATTGACCCGGTCAGAAAATGGAAGACGTATGGTGATGCTTTGATGATACTATACAGACTTCTAAGATCGGGTAAATTGCTGAGGATTGGAGCGATTAGCTCTGGCGGAAGAGTCGCGAAGATATCCATTTTGACTATTGATGGTAAATGAAGAGTAGCAGCAAGTTCATGAATCTCAGGTCTTGAAGCTACCCCTCATATGAGTCTTGCCAGCATCATATCACGCCCATCACGTGGTTGTATCGACTTGAATGTGCTTATCCGTTGATTCCGGCGTCGATGTGGTCACACGGCTACCCCAAATTAAACAGACGATGCCAAGAGCGAATAGGGTGATCTCATTGCTGAGGGGTCTCCATTTAATGACGTCTGATCAAAACGCCTCGTTTTTGTAACGTTATTTAGCGCTTGGTTCACGATGAGGAACATACTTGTACTTCAATTAGTGTCGTCGATAAAAGAGCAAAGAAATTTGGAGTGACAAACGCAATTGACACTTAGCTTTGCACGATGAGCGGTGTTCTGCCTGCTGCACGTAATAGACATTTGTGTCTGAAGTATTCGAAATCCGTGTATCTCTATTATTTAGTGCAACTTGTACAAGATCTGCTAAGTCCGCTGCCGAATAAATATCTTTGTAAAGTCATCTATCTATCTACCCGTTGGCTCATGTGGGCCCAGGCGAGCCAACCTAGCAAGCTAGGTTGGGCACAAAATCATGAGACACGCACAAATTCGTGAGACAGACCCCGCACCTGCCTGTGTCGCCTTTTTGTGCCTTTTTGTATGTCAAAACGCCTAAAGTCAGGACAGAAATCAGTGAAAAGACCACAAATTGTGTCTAACCTCTTTATGCCGTCACAGGCTAATCTAAAAGCTGCGCAGGCGGTTGTTCTTTCTCGTGCCCGGCACTAAAAGGGCTTATCTCGCGATGCTTCCAAAGTCAGCAAGCAGCCTCTTTCTCTTCGCAATGCCGAGGCACGGCATCACGGCTCCTCTCGTGCAACCATTCGACGGATCGTGAAGAAGCTAGAAGCTGCAAATTCCGCTGATTTGAACGATACCGCTTTTAAGACCGCTGGCCGCCCGAGAATCCTGACAGATGAAGAAGAGGGAGCTATCGTCGCTTTCGTGATGTGGATGGAAAGATCAGGACTTCCTGCTTGCAAAGGCGAAGTTGAAGATGCAACCAACACGCTGCGCCTCCGCAGAAACCCTGATGTGCAGCCTATGAGCAGAATGTGGTATCGCCGCTTCCTGAACTCGATAAATCGATTCTGAAGTTGTTAGATAAGTCTCGCGAAGCGTGGGAAGTCGCAGGCATTGACGATGTAAAGGAGTGGTTTAAACGACTCACTAAAGTCATCACGAAGCTGCAGATCGGCGCCTCTGAGATTTGGAATGCTGACCAGGCGGGAGTTAGGGTAGGAATACTTGTCAGATATTAAGGTGAATCGTGTATATTTCTTGATTCTGTCGCAATCGAAGGACTATTGAGACCTTATATCTTCGACTGGTTCCTTCTAGGACTTGAGTCCTAGAAAGTCCTAGATGAAAGTCCTACGATCTAAGTTTAGGACTTCAAACTTTAATCCTGAACCTTAATCCTGAAGTTGAGGGTGAACCCTCCAACATTCAACAATACTGCGAGAGCGAGTAGAATGCCTCATTGTACGCACCAAGAAGAAGTCTCCTGCCGACCGAGAAACCTGCACAGTTATTGATACCGGAAATGCTGTAGGAGATACGATTTCTCCCTGGCTTATCTTCAAGTCTTTCCCTACTTTAGAGTGGGCGTATATCGACCGTGATCCGAATATGCGCTTTGCAGATTCAGAGTCGGCGTTCTCGAACGGCGATATCACGGTCGAGTGGGCAATAGAGTTCAACCGGCATTCTTGGCGGAAATCTGCTACTGTACAGGATCGTCAGCTATCATTTGAAGAGTATTTTGGATGTGATTAGCATCTCAGGAAACCGCTCGAGCCTCACATTTCATTTGATGTGCCTCCGAAGGAACGCACGCCTGCAGAGAAGATCTGGCGGCTTCTTGTTATCGACGGCTTCACCGGGCACGGCGCCTTTGCCTTCCGTGAGTACTGTTGTTTATATTGCGCAGTAGTGCTGGGTGAAAGTATATTTTTATGAAACTTGATTTTTTTTTTTTCTTTTATTGAGATGAGAGTTCTTCTCAGGTTTATATCTCTAAATGATTTCATCTAGGACTTTAAACTTTAAATCTAGGACTTTCAGACTAACAGTCTAAACCCTGAAGGGAAGGGGGATTCCCGGATTTCCAACATGCGTGCAGGCTTCGGAAATCCAGTCACAAATTGTCTCCAGAAGCTCAAGTTGGCCGATAATGGGCACCCTTCACTCTACTGTTAGTGTCGGCCTGCCACATGTTTGCTGTGTGTTCCATTAGTTCATAATCTGACACATCCTTTGCAGATTAGGAAGAGGAAGGGCAATTGGATTAAATAGTGGCCAGGGTCTGGACCGGAAAGCATCCCTGATTATCCGGTATATTGCTTATTCAGAAGCTGCAACCAGATGAATATGTATGTATCATTTGGGTGGTATAGCCAGAAGCTTCAACATCGAGGTTGCAAACCCCTCAAGTTCAATCTCAACATCCTCAAACGCAATATGACAAACTATATTAAGCCCCTCTTTTCTTCTACGGCTGATATTTTAATAGAAAATGTTGAAACTGTCGATAGCTGTTATCTACCCTTGCAGAATCGCTCTTCTTATCCTCATACTTTGAAAACCCTCAGCATCATGGCCAGTCGGGAGCTTCTCGTGGTGATTCTAAACCATACCAATGAAGAACTCAACACCGAACTTGAATGGCCAACCCTTATCCACGGCCAATTCATGAAAGATCCGGACCTTCCACCGCCGCAAACAATACTCGCCGGTGAGAGCGGCATGCTGCGCTGCAAATCGAACCACTTGGGCGGCGGGATTGAAGGTTCAATTACGTACCGTATCGTCGGATTCGGACCAAGAAACGAAGCGACATTTTCGTGGAGCGTGCCGTACGTTGGTATGAATAAGTTTAGCGCTGCTTCTGCCATCCCCAATTTCAAGGTGCAACCTCTCGGTGGGTATGGTAATCAGGCTGTTGTGGTGTTTGTATTCGGTGAGTTAGCCCTTTATGGGAAAGGTCTGTTCTTAATAACACTTTTAGAACCCAGTCAAACGACAGATGGAGGGATGGAAGATGGTGGAGTGTTAGCTGCTGTTGCTAAGTATCCTTTGGAGTGTGCTGAGGGCCCCTTGAGTGGGCATTAATCACCATTAGGTAAATGTAATTTCTTGTCTCAGTTGGAAATTAACATGTGATGTGATAAGATGATATTTTGTTGGCTGAATGAACACTGTGCTTGTGGCGGCACACCACCAATATCTACCCAGTTGCGGTGGCTTGGACTGATTGTCCAATCTATCTCTTCAGGCGGCATAAAGCTCCGGCGGGGTCACGACAGGGGTGTAGGACCTATCAAAATGAGCGCTACTTGAAGTACATTCTCACACACCTAAATTTGCGTGTGATAGAAGTACCAGCAGTCAGCCGTGTTACAAATAGCTACATCACATACTTTGCAGCCGTACACGGTCTGCACCCTTCGTTCATTTCCTGATATCGGCTGTAGATAACCTCCTTTTTCCTTCTTCCTTTTAAAGGGTCGGGCCTGACCCTGCCGGAAGCCTTTGCAAGCTAGGCAGCTTGAATGTATGCCCCGATGGACATGATTGATATCTCTTTGTAGGTGAATTTGCCGTGCTTCTGTATCCTCGATGTCTTCTTCCATTCCTGTACGGCCTCTCTTCCTTATGTGACTTTCAGTTGCGTATCTGTTGAAAATGGCATTATAAATGCACTCCTTCCAAGCTTTAAGCGTGCTATAGGGCTTCCAACGAGGCTGCCGTGTTTTCTTCTGTAAAATGAAGCTATTCGCAAGTGCGACTTCAAGGAGGAAAGACCAAAGCAACGCTTGCCAAGGACCGCGCCGGAATCGGTGCTGATATGTTGTATAAGACCGTATCTGATCGCCGCGGTCAACGTGATTCATTTCATCGTTATACTGAGCGGCAACAGTAGGAATAGGGATTATCTTGAAGCTATCACCATTGAAGACCTGCTGCAGGCGCTGTGACTCTGCCTTTGTGCCTCTTTTGGCGGGCTTTTTCCTCTTTTTTGGTGTGCGCTCGTGAGGGGCTCCGCTAAGCACAGTTGAAAGGAAGAGCACGATGCTGCTATCTTTCCAAGCGATTTGGATGACCTAGGGAGAAAGGAAAAGGACAAATTAGTAAGGGAAATACAGGTAAAGCTATCCATACCTGTTTATCTTGTGTCGGGATCAAATATACCTCATTATATTGCAAAGCTATGCCGTCAGGAGCTTTTCCGGTCTCTTTTATATGCTTCATCTCGGTGGTGATGCCGCAGTTAGGGCGTGCCGTGCCTGTGGCACCGTGGCCAAGCTGCCGAAGAAGGCGGAAGAGCTGCGGCGACGAGAAGAGGTTATCCGTGAAGACGTGATGTGTCTGCGTTGATAGCCTTTTTAGTAGGTGAACCACGACGCTTTGTGTATTGTTGAGAGGAATCTCGGTCCGTAGCTTTCCCTTCTTGCCGTACGGCGTTGGTGTAGGTAGCTCGACTATAACAGCCTTGTATGGTGATGCCTTCACGTGCCAAAGCCACTGCAGAAAGAAGCCCTGTTGGGCGATAACCCAGACTTTAAACCCCACGGGCGTGGGTTTATTCTTGACGACTGTTGTCTCTTTTGATCTGCCTGTAAAAGGGATCATACACTCATCTACAGTGAGGTTAGTCCCTGGAGAATAGAGCTCGATAGACACGCTTTGTATGTGATTAGACCACTCTTCAGCCGCTTGGAAGGTCTTTGGAAGGTCGCTCTCATCCCTCACATCGAGCTTGGTGTAGTCAAAAGTGCGGAAATACCTCGTGATCAGCTCGAACTTCCGTAACGGCATGAACTTGATGATTGAGTGAAGAGGGCGCTGATCTCCTAGGCTAGGGGACTTCCAATGGTCTTTGATCGATATTTCCCTATGAATTCCTAGGTAAATAAGGACCCCAAGCCATACATAAGCTGTTGCGGTGGAGATGCCTTCCCACTTGAGAATGCGGGACTGTTTGGAAAGGGGGGTATTCCAGTTGTCAATAATGCCATTTTCAAGTAAGTGAGTGACCCAGCTATTGGTGTATTTAATCCATGACTGTACAAGGGAAATAGGTACGAAAAGCTGGAATAATTCAAGTGGTTCCTTGGGTAGAGGGTTGATCTTGAAATCACGATATTCTAGGTTGAAAGGTTGAAAATCATCACCGCAGCCCTCTTCGGGCGGAAAATTAGGCACGCCGGTGGGGTCATCAGCCGCCCTCAAAGGCGGGGTATCAAAGCTGTGATCATCTATATAATCAGGTATCTCTTGGGAGCTCATCGTTTTAATTAAGACGCGTTAGGGTCAATTTGTATGAGGATTTTGATGATTTTGGCTGTGTTGAATGAAGAAGCTGTCTGACGAGAACTTCACGTACCCCGCAGGTACTAGTGTTGTTAGTAAGCAATGTGGGGCGAGTGACCTGCCAGGCTCGTGATAATTCGTGATGTTGTCTTTCACTCAATTGATCCACTTTATAGTGTTGATGGCTTCGGCCGCCTGTAAGTCAATCCTTCACAAGACTTCCCACGAGTTGACGTATGGTTCAGTCCAACATTCTTGCATCGCCACTGCTGAAATCTTACCCTTCGTTGAGCCACGAGGAGCCCCAAATGCCCCTGATGGCTACGCTCCAGGTCAGGTCTCATGCCCAGAAACACGACCTGCTATCCGCCAGGCAACCAACCTATCAAACGACGAAACAACATGGCTGGAACAACGCGATAAGAACACCATCTCAGCGCTAAAAAACATTCTCAAACGATTGAATATCGGCAACATAGACACAAACTCGTACCTGGACGGTATTGTAAGTGATGGCGACGCCCTGCCACGAATTGGCATTGCCATCTCAGGCGGGGGTTACAGAGCAATGATGAATGGTGCGGGTGCCATCGCCGCATTTGACAATCGAACCACCAATTCCAGCGGCAAAGGCCATTTAGGCGGTATTCTTCAAGCTGCAACATACCTCAGTGGTTTAGCTGGAGGTAGCTGGGTAGTAGGAAGCCTGTATACGCAAAACTTTACATCGGTTCAGTCTATCATCTCTGCAAAGAGTGGATTTCTATCAACACTTTGGCAGTTCGATGACTCGATCCTTGAAGGTTTGTTAGGACTGCACTTCTGGCTGTAGACGGTTTAGTTGACGTAGACATGTATAGGGCCAGCAGATTTATCACGATCACGATATTATCGTGAGTTATACCAGGATGTGAATGACAAGGTTGATGCGGGATTTAATAAAAGTATTACCGATTATTGGGGAAGAGCTTTGTCGTATCAGCTCGTCAATGCTAGTGATGGAGGACCAGGTACATATTTTCCCCGTCATCTGTTGACGCTGGAAACTAACTTCGCTTTAGCATATACATTCTCATCAATTGCAAACGATACCAACTTCGCTGACGCACAAACGCCAATGCCCATCATTGTTGCTATCGAACGAACAACAGGCCAAGTTCAAATCGCCACCAACTCCACCATCGTCGAGTTCAATCCATGGGAAATGGGCTCTTACGATCCTGGCCTTTCTGCATTTGCACCTCTGAAGTATGTGGGCTCTTCTTTCGATAACGGTACTCTCAAACGAGGCAGCCATTGTATCGCTGGCGTCGATAATGTCGGATTCGTAATGGGCACATCGGCATCACTGTTCAATCAGGCTTTTCTCCAAATTGACAAAGCCAAAAACGTTCCGGACTTTTTGCTCAAGGCCATTAATAACACGTTGGCGGATATTGGCGAAGAGAATACTTGGGTAGGGCCTAGAGACCGGCCCCCCTTAGCTTGTGGTATCACTCCGCAAGCTCCGTGCCCAAGCACGGGGGGTGCACTGACAGGGAAAAGGGTCTGCTGACAGGGAAAATTGGGGTACCTCAATTTGGCTGCAAAACCCGCCAAATGAAGGTACCGACTTTCCCTCGGTTAGTAACATAATTCAGACCGGACTAACCACTCCATCTGCATCTACGGGACAAATGCATCACAACCACAACACCATAATATATCATTAAAATCAGGTATGTTATTCATTCTTTTTCGCAACAACTAAGACATCCTACCTAACTTCAATAGTATCTTTAACTGATATATCATCATCTTCTTCTTCTTCTTCTTCTTCTTCTTCTTCTTCTTCTTCTTCTTCTTCTTCTTCTTCTTCTTCTTCTTCTTCTTCTTCTTCTTCTTCTTCAATCTCTTCATCATCTTCACTTTCATCGATATCCAATTCATCATCATCAACAGACAACGCTTTCTGCTTTCCACGCTGTTTTCTCGAAGGTGAGGCTATCAAATCGACTGCATCTTTGACTATATTAATATTATAGTCAAAAGGAAGAAGGAATGGAGGATTCCAGTAAAAAGGGAAGATCTTAGGTATATGTTCTTGCTGTGCATCTCTTGCTTGCTTGGCCAATAGCTTGGATTCTTTCATCTTTCCGTGCATCTCACGGTGAGCACAATATCTTGTAGCTAGAAGCTCTGTAGACTTGATACAAAGCTCGGATTGAGTCTTGATGAAGAATTCACTGACTGTGAATGGCCTCACTTCCTGTGAGTATGAAGGTTGACTCCTATGTTGTTCAATAGGATGATATTCCTTCAAAGATGACCGTAGTAGCTTCCTTACAGAGAAAAGCCACCGCCGTAGATATACAGCCTCGTCTCTGACCTCCTTGGCATAATAACGACGAAGCTCTGCATCCTGATTTGCCCGTCTATTATGTTGATCCTTTGCGACACGAAGTCTGGCATCATAAACTGTAATTGGCCCGTAATTTGCTATGATAATAGTTCCTTCGTCCCGTTCTAAACGTCGTAGGCTCTTCTCCTTCAAACGGCGCATCTCCTGAGTAGCTGTGATACCGTTCAAGGCAAGGGTTGTGTGTGCTTTTCGCACTTTTTCGTTAACATGTAACACACTTGGGGTCAGAGGCACGCCTGAGGATATTGAAGATTCAATACGAAGGGCCACATAACCTTCGTATTGCTTGATTTGCCGTAGATTAAGCTGAGGTGTGTTGACATTGTTCCAGATAACCGTTGGAGGCGTGGAGGGCATCATTGGAATCCCCTCGTTGCGATGAGTATTTTGATGTATATCTCGTGATGATTCGCCAACTTCCTCTTCATTTGAATCATCGCGAAAGTCACTGCTGTGGTTGGAAGATAACCCAGGTGTGATATAGCCAGGAAGATCACGTTCAGCAACCTCCAAAGAGAGGGATGAAAGAGGGTTGACCATTTTGTTGATAACAACGGAGGGATCAAGAGGATAGATGCCGGATTTCGCCCACGATGAGATGATAGTACTTTTCTTAGTAGCTTTGCGGCTAATCTCCTGTAAATGAAACATAAAGTTAGCTTTATTGAAGTCCGTAGCACCGTCAGCGATTTCCCTGAGTAAGGCTTCCTGATGCCAATGCTTATATGTACTGAATAATCCAACATCTAACGGCTGAAGTATATGTGTCAGATGAGGAGGGAAGGGATATAAGATAATATTCGCATCTAGAGCTTTCTGATAAAGCTCTTTGGTGAAATGACTTTCACATCCATCATAAAGAATAACTCGAAGATCTGATGTATTTTGAGGCCGGGTAAGTCTCTCAAAGTGGTCAAAGAAGTCCTGTGCCGTGATATTGTCGATATAGCCTTTTGGTGTTGTGACTATCGTAGCCTGCTCGTCTAGGTCATTATCCACCCAACGGGAGGGAATCTGTATGCCGGGCATGATAACAAACGGGGCTATGATTCCTCCTATTGCAGATATTGGCTCCACGATAGTCATACTAATAGTCGTATGTGCATCAGTTAACAGAGGGGAGTCGATATCGAGGAAAGTCCATATCATAATACCGTTCATTAGATATCCTATTATAAAGCCGGTCTCGTCGAAATTCCAGACATTATCAAAGTTGATGTCGTTTCCCTCGAAAAATTCTGTCCATTTTGCAAACCACTCTTCGACATTGGCTCGGTCTGCCATAGCTTTGCGATTTGCAGCGAGAGTACGGCTCTTTCTCCTATGAAAGACTTCACGATACCGCCTGAGGAAGCGGCGAGCCCAGAATCTTGAGGCATGAGGCTCACGATGTGTAGCCTTAAGCAGGGAATTCGCATACTGACGAAGTGTGCGTTGTTGTATGTGATGCCCCTGTGTTACTCTCCTCCAACACCAGGCGAGTATAGCTTTCTCTTCTTCCTTGCTGAATAACGTCCTGTTGCCGCCGTTATCTCTTACAGGATGATGGCCGTTGATCCTACTGCGAAGTCTCTTATAGTTGACTTTCCATGCTTGTGCAGCGGCTCTCATGGAGGGATAAAAGCCCTCTAGATATAATGCCTTTGCTGCGATGGTGCGTTCTTCAATATTATAGTCCGTGAAGCGGGAAATTCGTGGTAAACCAGTCTCAGGATTGATATATATTTGTTGTGCTGATGGAGCAAGCTCTGGGCTTTCAGATGTCATATTTTTTTTATTAATTGAAGTACTATTGCAATAGTTGTGATTGATTTAATATTTGTTGTTGAGGTGGTGATGTCAATAGAGGCTGTGGTGTTGCGGTAGATAAATAATTGTAGGCATCATAGGTGTAGGAAACGGGGACATGCATATAAAGAAGCTACAAAAATTTGGCGGGTTTTGCAGCCAAATTGAGGTACCTAAATTTTTTCCCTGTCAGCAGCCCCTTTTCCCTGTCAGTGCACCCCCCGTGCTTGAGGCACGGATACCGAAGGTAGTAACGAAAGCACGGGGGGCCGATCTCTAGGCCCTACCCACGTAGAGATATCGCCAATTGGCCCAATCCTTTTTATAGGTACAACCCTAAAAACAATTCTAACGCCAATACGAAGATTTTGACACTCGTTGATGGTGGGGAGGACCTTCAGAACATTCCATTGCATCCATTGCTCTTATCGGAGCGAAAAGTCGATGTCATCTTCGCTGTTGATGGCTCCGCTGACACGCAAACACGTTGGCCAAACGGCACAGCTCTCGTGGCAACATATCAGCGATCCAAAGAAGGCACATCACCACAGAATAACAACTTCCCCAAAGTCCCAGATCAGAATACCTTTGTCAATCTTGGTCTTAATAAACAGCCTATCTTCTTCGGCTGCGGTAACTCATCTGGCCCATTAATCGTTTATCTTCCCAACGCGCCATATACAACCCAGTCCAACTTTACAACATTTGACCTCGAATACAGCGACACTGAGAGGAATGAGATTATCCAGAATGGATACAATATTGCAACTATGGGGAATGGCACGGTTGATGAGAATTGGCCTGCTTGTATTGGTTGTGCCATTTTAGAAAGAAGCTTTATTCGCACAAAGACGGCTCTACCGTCCAAGTGTGAAGATTGCTTCAAAAGGTTTTGTTGGAATGGGACTACGAATGACACAGTGCTAGGGACTTATGAGCCGGAGAAGATCATTGAAAGTGGCGTGGGACATGTGGCACTGTTTATGGGGGTGGTAGGTGTTGCTTTGTCACTAAGTTTCGTATTTTTTTACATGTGATAATAAGTAAAACGCTAAATCAAAGTATGCTGCTGCAATGGTGTAGATGGGTTTTGTGATAATCCAGCGTTAATAAATCCGGTATACTGAATAAGACAAAGTAAGCAAGATGTTAGTTATGGTTGAAGGTGAAAAGATGTCTCGAGTCTCAAGACAATAAGAACACATTGGTACCTAAATTAAACATTAAGTACATGTCATTTGATAAACTACTGTCCCTGGTTCAATCTGTTGGACCCTTCCAAAATTACGAACTAACTATGGTATCTTCTGCAAACTCAAAATTCTCTGCTTTTGCCAATTGTGGCTTCTCACCCGCCAAGTCCTGCTTCCGCTATCAAGCTAGACAACATCAGACACTGTGATCTACACGTTATTTACGTTATCACTCTGCGGTTCTATTCCTTGATGATAGCCTTTGGCCCGAGAATCAGGCCTTCAGTGCAGAAATTGTTAGTCTGCAATTCCCATCCTAAGATGACTAATGGTGAAGTGAAACTTACTTTGTCAGTTTTTCGGCATGTTGTTTGATGTCCTTCTTGGACTCGTTGAGTTTGATATAAGTCACAAAGACATATGCCCCCTGAAATTTGTGTGTCAGCATGTTCAGTGAAGCTCAGAGCTGGCAATGACTTACAAGGATGCCACTCAGAAGATGGAGGAACCACGCAATAAATGAAAATGCCAAGGCCGCTCTCCATGAGGCGCAACCCGCATCGCCAATATGCACTGTCCCAACAGGCCCAACTCGCCAGAAACGACCCCAATAATAGCCCCAGTAGTTATAATACCAAGAAGCAGAGCATGTATGACTACCGGTTCTCTAAACAGAGCAGAATCAACATCACGTAATCAGTAAGTACCCTGGCTGTAGGAATAGGGAGAGACATACCGTTTGAAGCAAGCAATATGCCACCAGCCACATGACAAACAAGACAAAGTCAAATGGAAAGCCCAAGAACATATTCTTGAACGGTGGACAGAAGAGGACCGAGTAGATAATACCTAGACATGCGACGACAATGGCATAGATGATACGTCCGTCGATATGCACCTGCGCGATACCAGCAAGGTAACAGAAGCGCGAGAGGATGCCAAGGACGATTATTGCGCTGGCAAGCTCAGCAAGGCGCAAAATAACAGAAATGACCTTGTGCGCAACACCTGTCTCTTTCTCTGCCATTTTAGCCGTTAGGGGTAGTTGATTGACAATATGATGTTCTGGGTTGGGTAACCTGAGTCTTGAATATGAGGTACAGTTGATGATTTTGTGACTCAGATCGAGATGAGACTGCAAAGCGAACAGTGCTGTATATACTTCACAAGAAATGTAATTGTTACGCAATCGTGTTATCTGTAGGTATTTCATCACGCCCAATACACATCTTATCATATCATCCGGTAGACGGCATTAGCCGCTCGGGATTGATATGTTGTCAGCAGATAATCAGAGGGTGTGCAGATCAAGTTTAGCCTGATCTGAAAAGAGTTTATGACCGGTCCTTGACAGAAACTTTAAAAGCGCCAATGAATTAACATTGAGTCATGGCTGTTTATGACTGTAGTGCGGCGTTGTTTGCTATTCCCATTCAGGTGCCATGAGTTCAAATTGGTGTGGCGACACAAGAGGTGCAGACAGACTATGTTACGTTTCGAAAGTACGAGACATGCTCTTAAGGTTGAGGATTCAAAACCGCAATGTAGAGAATATAGCGCAGGGCTTGCGCCGGCCGAATTGAGATGAGATATGAGACAAGCCCTGATGTATATATGCCTGGGACGACTGGCTGATACATGCATCCAACGTCCTCATCGCGCAAGAATGTCGTCACGTGGCGAGGTAAGTAAACCTTAATGTTCACAATAAAAGTCTAGACCAGTCCTGAATAAACAAGCTTTTGAAAGAACTAAGCTTATGATGTTTGGCCGCTGGCAGCTAGCCAGCCGCATGTTAGCTTGATTCTATTTCACCGGTTAGTACGTAAGAAACCTCAATTGATGTGCCGGGCGAAGCCATCTACGTCGCTTCGTACAACACCATGCGGCAAGCTTACTATGAGGGATGGCACTAACGTCCCCGTTGAAAGGGTCGTTCTCAAATGCCAAGCCTTTATTATTCTGCACGAATCACGTCAGGCTTTGGCCAAGATGCTCGCTCCACAATCGGAAGTTTCAGTGCAGATCTGACATGCAGCTAAGCCACGCTAATCATTTTAGTTTGCTGCGAGGGTCACCACCCACTCGGCAAACGGCTACTGCCTAAAATATTGAAATATTACAAGCGCTACTCCGGTAACAAGGTGGGTAACAAGCAGGATTAAACGACTTTGATCTTTATCACAGGACTAACGCGTGAGAGATCGAAGATTAAAGTCGAGCTAGCTGACTCGATCGCCTTCACGTCGCCGATTCCGACGGTTTATATGGGAGCATCTGCATCGTCCTATGTCAATGCAAATCATACATTTGTACCCACAACTCAAAGCCCCAGCCAAACCAACAGCAGTGACGAAACTGGTTGTGTCGTCACCTCTCCGGCGAGCAGAGCTGGGGGTTCTTGAAACAACCCACTTCCATGTCCAGCCAGTGTTGCTAATAATATAAACAATATGATATTGCCAATATGGACCCCTTCGCAATATTATTGTATTGTCAAGGGGTGCATATTGTATTACCCAATATGAACATGACTCATATTGTATTTATTGCCAAGAACCCAATATATTGGCAGTGTGACAATACACCCAATATATTCCACGTGACCCCATCACTATATCGCTTCTGCACAAATCTCGTCACCCTGAAAATCACGTATCCCAAACCATGACTTCAGGCACTCCAATGCTTCAATTACATCACTCCCAAGTCGATTTCGACGGTCTGTAATGGTTATCTTTGCACCAGAGAAGAGTCTTTCAGGCTCCGCAGACATTGCAGGAATTGACAGTATATCCACGGCCATCTTGCTCAGGCTCGGGTAGGTTTTCTGCTGCGTCTCCTCTAGCCACCATGCAAGGGCGCTTGTAAAGCCATAAACCCGTTCAGAATTGCAATATCGCTCGTATTCGTCCATGGCGAGCGACGGCTGCAGATGCTTGTTCCTCCAATTCAAGAACTCGTTCGTGGTTGTCGATGGGACCTCGCAGAGAGGAAGCGGTGATTCCACAGGTTTATATTCGTTCCACAGCGTCTCAATCAACGTCTTCGATGACTCAGCCCACTCCTTTTTCCAGTTCTCTTGGATGTAGTGCCATTTGTGTGAAGGGTGGAGCACAATGGCTGCAACATACGCAGGCGATTCTTCAGTAAGGCGATAGTACTTATCCAACTTGGCCCAGCCCGAGTTATACATCGGTGCCATCACCGGATCGTCGATAGCTGCCTCCTTGCCGGCTTCGAATTGTGCCAATACAAAGTCCATCGCCAAGAGGACATTGTCGAGTGTTGCAAATGATGACTCGAGAGCCTTGGTCGTCATCTTTAGCTTCTCCAAGAAGGACTTGATCTTCTCCAAGATGATCCAGTCCTCTAGAGAGAGCTCGTCTCCAGCGCAATCTGCGTCCATCCATTTGTTAAAATAGCCGTCAATTGCATCTCTAAGATTCAATGCTGCCCTCAACATGGTATACCACGAGCTCCATCTTGTGTCATTGTCTCGCGCAAGCCTACGGTTGTGGCTGATAGCAAGAAACTTTTGGCTGCGCTGAACACTCCGTTGGATGTAAACGACGAAGTTGTGAAGCCTGCCAAGAGGACCCTTCTTCCGCCACGCTTCAATATGCTTTAGTGTCACATTATGCAGGCCAACATCGTCGCGTTCGAGCTTCTCATTGTCGGTGACGAAGAGGAAAGCTTTGGCGGCGAGGTTGATGATATGACCTTGGCAGCGGAGTCGGTGAACTTTGGGATCGTATTGGATATCATATCGACGTAGGAGGCCTATGGGATGTGAGGGACAATCATTAGAAACAGTGAGTTGTACTGACCAAGCGAAAGGGATCTCATCATTGTATCGTTATTGCCAGCATTATCCATCACGAAATACCCAAGCTTGGAAGCAAAGCCCCATTCGTCAACCACATCCAAAATTGCCGCAGCGAGGTGAGAACCGTCGTGCTCACTGTCGATGTCTTTCAATGCCAAAATATGGTGCTCCAGCTGACCATCTTCCGTGACATAGTGACCAACTACGCCTAGGATGGCCAAAGAGTTGAGAGAAGTCCAAAGGTCGCAGCTGATATGAATTCTTGACTTCTCCGACTGTATGCGCTGCTTGACCTTCTCCTTCTGGTCTTCATACTGCCGCATGATCCATTTCCTGATGGTCTCGTGCATGTCTGGAAGCCAAGTATCGATATCGTTATTGACGTAAGCCAAGAGTGCTCGGAACTCTGGGCATTCCACGAGCCGAAAGGGGAGAGAACAGGCCGTAATAAACCTCACATACAACACTTCGAGCTCGTCAGGGTCGATCGAATCTCCGGATTGATCGTTAAGCCGACGGCGTTTGCGGGGATTTTCTTCTGCCGCAGCACGAGCTTGTTCGAGAATTGTTCGTATTGTTGTCACTTTAGCTGTGCGCGGGGCTCCTTTTGGCAGACCGTGACCGTCAGGAGGAGGGTCCATAAGATGTTTTGCAGAAGCCGCAGTACCCCCGGAACAGGCATATGCTCTGTCACAATGTTTGCAGCGCCACTCTTCTTTTCCGGTCCGCTGATTGTAGTATCTCGTCTCTATCTCCTCGTCTGGCATATGAGAGAAGACCCATGATGTTCTAGGCTTGGTGGAGGAGGTTGTAGAGGCTGTGCAAGGTCGAGATTTGGACGTTTGGCTTTCGTCTAGGCCATGTAACTGCTGGCTGGAAAACTCCGAAAAGTCGACTGAAATTGACGACTCTCTTCGTTGTGACCATTTTACAAGAGGGAGGCGCTGTTGAGGCATGGCGGTACGGTTAGTCAGTAGGCTTGATAGTGATGAAGAAAATGGGCAGAGGTGACGATGGCTAATGTCGACAGGCAACCACTGGTACGCCCAACCCAACTTGGTCCGTACCAATCGTACCTCCCCTGACGCGTGAAGGAAACGCGTGGTCGCATGTTATGTCTGATTGTCAATAAAGACGCGTGTTGAGGCGAACGCTCGCCAATAACATGCCAAGCATCCTTGTCGCTGGTGTAGGGTAAGGCATGCCTGGCTACTGTCAAGAGGCAATTTCGCCCCAGAACCAACAACCCAATAAAGTAATATATTGACAATATGGACACCCTCATATTATATTGTCACAATATTAAAATCTTCATATCATATTGTCACAATATGAGAGAGTCCATATCATATGGGTTATATTGCAATATACTACTTTATTGCCATATTATTAGCAACACTGTGTCCAGCCACCGGGTATGACCGTGTGAGTTATTGAGCGCATGCTTTCATGAAGGAAAAGCTCTAGGTGGGATTGGATAAGACAGGCCTCGAATGAATGATTATGGCACGATGTAATGAACGTAGTCGTCAATTTATGTACCAGAAAATGATAATTCCCTTCTGATATGATCGGCATATCCTGGATACGGGGAAACTCCAATAAGTTTGTCAGGTGCTATCATCAATTCCCTGCTTAAGCCGCATTAATTTCCCAACTCCATGATCTAAGTTCCCAAGCGACAAACGCAGTTAAACACGCTTAATAACTCATACTATCGTGCGACTCATATACTCCGACATGAATCTTCCTAGCTAGACAAGGTTAATTTAGTCTTTCTTCCAAAACTTCCACTTCTGCTTCGTCAGACATGAAGAGGGGCACAGATAGCGGTTCAACATCTCCCTCCCCTCGTCCGGAAGGTCGACGATAGACTCGTTGAAGGTATCAATGATAAATCGGTTGGCTGCCCTCAATCAACGACAAACCCTCTGCCACAATGGAGGAAAATGGAACGCTGTAGAGAAGAAAACCTACGCATAAGGTCAAGCCCATCATCACCAGCATTCAACGCCGTATCCATCCTCGCAGAAGTATAGCACCCATACCGCTGCTGCACCTCAAGCATACAAATCCATAATCTCTGTGCCTCATCGGCCGTCATGCCCTTGCAGCTGGGTTCGTAGCGTGATTTCCTGGCGCGAGCGCTCCATGAGTCGATCTTCTTTTCCGGTACGGTCATGTTCGACGTGACGCATCGTGTTGTCGCTGGGGGAATTCCAGTCCGATGTAGGAGAGAAAGGGACTGTGCGATCTTCGCGATACGATGCGTGTGAGGTTTATGTGAAGTGGTTGTGATTATGGTGGTGGTTTAAGTCGAAGGCGATCGTGGGCTTGAATAAGTAATCGTAGGTGTTTGTTTAACAAAAGACTAAGAGAGTTTGTGCGACAGTAATAGGTACCGGTAAAGCTGTCGAGATAATAATTGGCTTAATTACTGTCAATTAGAGTAGCCGGGTCATCACAAGCCGCTTTGCCTAGAATGATTCTGGCACAGACCCTGTTTACGATTGTTTAGAGAGGTAGGCTTGCTGGGCAGTTGACGACTCAGCATCGATCCTGCAAACGGGGACCAGTAGGTGTCTAACAGCAATAGCCATTATTGAGACTACTTGTGGCATTCTTAAGATCGACTAGCAAAAAGAAGTTTAAATCGCAAAAAAAAAAAACAAAGTGACTTTTGGCGGCACTAATTTTAAGAGGCTCATCTTGTCGCTTTATCTCTAGAGTTAGTAGGTTGCTTGCATTTTCTTACACGTATGCAAGGAGGCGCGATGGCTCTTGGTAGCTAAGCGTATACTCATCTGGTTTAGTTACATTTTAACGAATTTGACCTCTTTTTGCTAGTCATGTCGGCCGCCCTGTTCTGCGACTTGATGTTGTAGTTCATTGCATCTACACATAGGGATAAGACCCCTGCAAGAAGTCACTAAGCTAAAGATAACCACGCTGGCTACATACATAAAGAAGTGAAGGGCCCCGCTATCATATCATATCAAGTACATGGATCGATTTCGGCCTGTGCTGCGTGGCAAGTCATTCCACCACTCTGCCGAAGACGAAGGTCGGGGATGGGTTGATCTTGAGAACCCCAAGTAATACGTGATCCAGAGGAAAAGCATTAGATGACCCCAGTCAGGCCAGGGAATTTAAAGCCAAGCATTGCCATTCCGTGGCCCAAGGTACAGTATCCTTGCGCATTGGGGTTAGTTTCGAGCCCCGGCAGGACGCCACCCAGATGGTTATCTCTTTGAGCGGCACAAGGCAACACCAGGTCACTCGCCCCACTTGACCCCACGTACCAGAAGGCTACAGAGGCTTTACATATAGAGGCAGCTATAAGAGCCTGTATTCCTTTGTAGCTTGGCTACTTCTATAAGAGTATAGCCTCTTTTTCTCCTGACTTTAACTGGCTACTAATCTTTTATATCTATTCTTACTGGCTGCTGGCCATTTATATACAAACCGGCCCTGTATTGGCAGAATTAATTTCTCTGATTGGCCTGATATCCCTGTCTTGACCGCTTTGTTGCCTTGTGCCGCTCAAAGAGATACGCAGTCGGAAAGCCAGAGAGGGAAGCTTGAAAGAGCGGCAGGGGGCCGCCACCGTACCTTGCGAATATTAATCATAATTTGACTAACGCGATTATCCTACCTCATCAGTGTATACATGCATCCAGGCTGGTCCCCGACGATTGGGTTCAGACTAATCAGGCCTCTCGTTAGTGGCGGTACTTTGACCTATGTTATATCCCATCCGAGGAGTAAGTATACACATCATAAGACCATATCAGTCAACCTCCCTGTGACCCCTTATCCCTTTGAGTGATATAGCCCCTTCCCGCCGTATCTTGCTTCGCCTTACCTCACGTACAAGATAGGTACAGAAGGTTCACCTAAGGATCATACTTGGGCATTGTAGAGTAGAGTGGAGCTTTACCCCACCCGGGTAGAGTGGGTAGAGTGGTGGGTAGAGTGGGTAGAATGACGGAAAGAGTAGTGGGTAGAGTAGTGGGTAGAGCTCCCTCTACTCTATCTCTTTGAGTGGCACAAGACTGCAGCGGGGTCACGACAGGGTGAGAGACCAATCAAAATAACCGCGACAGCCGGTACTTCTACCCACACCTAAATTGGCGTGTGAGATAAGTACCAACAGTCAGCATTGTTACAAATAGCTACCTCACATACTTTGCAGCCGTATCGGGTCTGCGACCGCCGCTGATTTCCTGATATCGGCTGTAGATAACCTCTTTTTTTGAAGGGTCGAGGCTGCCCTTGCCGGCAGCCTTTGCAAGCTAGGCAGTCGGAATTTTTGCCCCTATTGACATGATTGATATCTCTTTGTAGGTGAATTTGCCGTGCTTCAAGATCCTCGCTGTCTTCTTCCTTCCCTGTACGGCATCTCTTCCTTGTGTGACTATCGGTGCCGTACTTGTTGAAAATGGCGTTGTAAATAGCCTCTTTCCAAGCTTGAAGCGTGGTATAGGGCTTCCAACGAGGCTGCCGGGTCTTCTTCTGCAAAATGAAGCTATTCGCAAGTGCGACTTCAAGGAGGAAGGACCAAAGCAACGCCTGCCAAGGACCGCGCCGGAATCGATGCTCATACGTTGTATAGGACCTTATCTGATCGCCGCGGTCCACGTGATTCATTTCAACGTTATACTGAGCGGCAACAGAAGGAATAGGGATCATCTTGAAGCTATCACCATTGAAGACCTGCTGTAGGCGTTGTGCCTCTGCCTTTGTGCCTCTTTTGGCGGGCAATTTCCTCTTTGTGAGTATGCGGTCGAGAGGGGCTGCGCTGTGCACAGTTGAGAGGAAGAGCACCACAGAGCTATCTTTCCAAGCGATTTGAAGGACCTAGAGGGAAGGGAAAGAGACAAATTAATAAGGGAAATACAGGTAAAGTTATCCGTACCTGTTTATCCTTCGTCGGGATCAAATATACCTCATTATACTTTAAAGGCGTGCCATTAGGAGCCTTTCCAGTCTCTCTTATATGCTTTATCTCGGTGGTGATGCCGCAGTTAGGGCGTGCCGTGCCTGTAGCCCCGTATCCAAGCTGCCGAAGAAGGCGGAAGAGCTGCGGCGACGAGAAGAGGTTATCCGTAAAGACGTGATGTGTCTGCGTTGACAGCCTTTTCAGTAGGTGAACCACGACGCTCTGTGTATTGCTGAGAGGGATCTCGGTCAGCAGCTTTCCCTTCTTGCCGCGCCGTTGTGGTGTAGGTAGCTCGACCGTTACAGCCTTATATGGCGATGCCTTCACGTGCCAAAGCCACTGCAGAAAGTAGCCCTGTTGCGCAATAACCCAGACTTTGAACCCTACCGGCGTAGGCTTTCCCTTGACGAGCGTTGTCTCTTTTGATCTGCCTGTAAACGGGATCATGCACTCATCTACAGTCAGATTAGTCCCTGGATAATAGAGCTCAATAGACACCCTTTGTATGTGATTAGACCACTCTTCAGCCGCTTGGAAGGTCTTTGGAAGATCGCCCTCATCGCTCACATCGAGCATGGTGTAGTCAAAAGTGCGGAAATAACTTGTGATCAGCTGAAACCGGCGTAAGGGCATGAACTTGATGAATGGGTGAAGAGGGCGCTGATCTCCTAGCCTAGGGGCCTTCCAATGGTCCTTAAGGGATATTTCCCTATGAATTCCTAGGTAAATAAGGACCCCAAGCCATACATAAGCCGTTGCAGTAGAGATGCTTTCCCACTTGAGAATGCGGGACTGTTTAGTAAGGGGGGTATTCCAGTTGTCAATAACGCCATTTTCGATGAGGTGACGGACCCAGCTTTCGGTGTATTCAATCCATGACTGTACAAGGGAAATAGGTAGGAAAAGCTGGAATAATTCAAGTGGTTCCTTAGGCAGAGGGTTAACCTTGAAATCATGATATTCTACGTTGAAAGGTTGAAAATCATCACCGCGGCCCTCTTCGGGCGGAAAATTAGGCACGCCGGTGGGGTCATTAGCTGCCCTTAAAGGCGGGGGGCTAAAGCTGTGATCATCTATGTGATCTTGTATCTTTGAAGAGCTCATCGTTTTAATCAAGACTTGTTAGGGTCAATTTATATGAGGATTTTGATAAGGCAATTGATAGGGGGGCATGACGAATTGATACGCGGGCATGATCCTTAGGGGGGCATGACCTTTTGTAGCACCTGATTCGTCAATTTCGTTTTTGTTAGTGTCGGCAGAATTCTGTCAGAGCTTCCTAAGTACCTCGTGTTGCATATGCCTCTCCCAGATTGTCACACGAGTGCACCACAAGAGTCAGAGGGGTGTTACAGATCTGTTGCAGGTTCGGCAGGTCTAGTATCGTAGCCTCTCCTCGTCAAATATAATGAGGACGAAGAAGACGAGGGGACAGGGATGAATCAATCAATAATCTGTTCTTCATCTTGAAATCATCATTCATCTTGACTTACCACCCTCGTATCCGACACCTCGAGCTTAGCTCGCCCTTAATCTTACCTTGGTAACCAATGCGACGCCATCAAGTTTTCTCTCCATCAGCAAGCTATCCACTCCTGAGTCTCTCAATCCTCGATGATTAGAACCTTCACCACGTCCCAATCTGAGCCTCCTTCCAGCTCAGAGAGCAATCCGAGATGCCGAACTCGCAGTCCTAGTCCTAGCGATCAATTGCACGCCCGAAAACGACGGCGGCAGAGCCGACAATCCAGGTTCAGCCCGCCGTTACTCGCGAATAGACCAGCGCTCATCATAAATCAACTCAATCAATCAATCACCCCAATCAAATCAATCAACTTAGTCAATTCCTTGCCTCAATCAAATCAATTCCAGTGATTTGTAAGTTGACATGATTTGATAAAGTTGATATATGCCATGCTGCATCTGAACTGCCCAAAAAGATTAAACCTGGACGTGCCCTCCGCCCAGTCCTACCCTGTACAAGATGGCCACAGATAGGCGATACTTCTTAGCCCTATATGAAGCCGTAGCCTCGTTGGTACCTGCTATCGCCGCCTAACGCACACCAACCCTCGGCAGGATGACGCGCTCCCTCTGCACCCTACCGCGGCGCGTCAATTTCGCTGTCAACAAGACATGGCACCAGCGACAAGATGTCAGACTTGCCACCACCCTCTACACCGGCGAAAGGCTCGCCGGTGATTTCGACGCCTTGCCCCACGCCACTTTTCCCCTCTGCG